TGGCTGCATTAACCACGTATCATAATTGTTTTTTTACCCTTCTATCTGGCAACAAAACTGACACATTTTTTACAAGGAGTCATGTTTGCATAGACCACAATACCTGCAGTCGTAATGCAGGTATTGTAGTCTATGCAAACATGACTCCTTGTAAACAAGTATAACCCGTAAAAACAAAGTTTTTCACTATAAATCCTTTATATGCGTGGCGGCTCGAGTCCTCTCGTCCTCTGGCTTGAGATGGCTGCCACCTATGGGTCAGATGATTGCATGGCAGCATTAAGCAATTGGTAATTAAATATATTTTTGTCCTAAAAAGTGTAAAATTTTGGAAAAAAATTTTCACGAACATTAATTGTCACGCACAACGAGTCTGTGTGGAAAATGTCAGCTCGATTGGATCACGGGAAGTGGGTTAAAAAACGACCGCAAGATTTGCACGGTCGCAAGCAAGCGAACTTAATATAAAGGATTTAAAAAGGTGTCAGTTTTGTTGCCAGATAAAAGGGTAAAAAAACAATTATCATATTTTTTACTGGCAAATGAGGTTCCAATGGTGTAACCACATATCTTTGTTGTGAACATGCAAACACAAAAAACATGCTCTGGTAGTATATATCTTTTTTTTATCGATTATTGTCTTTGAATAGATTACCTCCTGTATGTACATAATCGATTAGATCTACGTATACATAATCGATTATCTCCGTGTGCGACCTGGGTTCGGATTATCTGAACCGTTCCCGGGCCTCCCCTAGGTCGACTCGGCCTCAAATGAGTAGCTGGTGCGCTGTGTAAACATCGCCACTAGGGGAGACAAAGGCGGCCGGGGGTGGTCGTGCCGGCCTTCATAGGTGCTGCAAACAGCACTTGCCCCAACAGTCTGTGCAGGCTATACGGGGGGTCTTTGTCTTGAACTTTTTTCGCACCGTACGGAGCCAACCGTGCTAATCTGTGGGTCTGGGTGTGTGGATATCTCTGTGTGTGTATGTTTGCTGAACTTTTTTCGCACCGTACATATCCAACCGTGCAATTCGGACCCTTTAACGGAACCCTTCGAGTTTGTAGCTTCAGTGGCAAATCACCGAGCAGCTGGCAAGTCTAAGGGGCCGTCCATAAATGACGTCACACGATTTTGGACGATTTTTGACCCCCCCCCTTCGTCACACGGCGTCACAAAAAGTCAGACCCCCCCCCCCTTAAATATGACGTCACAAAGCTCTGCCCCCCCCCCCCCCCCCAAAATAAAAACATGTTTCAAATCGCTTTAAACTATTGTCATTGTAGTGCGTATTTAATGTGGCGCTGCACTCTGATGTAGTAGGAGAAAACATTTATTTGAAAGTCTATTTAATTAAGCAGAACGTGTTGCCTATATTTATTTAAAGTTGCCCATTTTGATGTGAAATTGCGTTTCCCCACACCGCCCCTCCCAGAATGGCGTGCGTCGGTCTCTCTGCACGTGGACGGCTGATTTTAAAGCCGACGTCGCGGCGTTCAGGAGACATGGGACCGACTTCGCCGTGCCCGCACCGTGCCCGCACCGTGCCCGCACCGTGCCCGCACCGTGCCCGCACCGTGCCCGCACCGTGCCCGCACCGTGCCCGCACCGTGCCCGCACCGTGCCCGCACCGTGCCCGCACCGTGCCCGCACCGTGCCCGCACCGTGCCCGCACCGTGCCCGCACCGTGCCCGCACCGTGCCCGCACCGTAGGCAGAATGCGCATGAAACGTGGGTGGAGCCAGGTTGAAGAGAATGAATGGGGGGGGGTGAAGGGAAGAGAGGGGAGGGGACATGCATTAGCGGATTAATGCACACTTTCCCCACAGACATTATAAATGTTATTTGCTATGAATTTTTCGATTTAAAGCTTTCGTGGCTGCAGGGATTAATCTTCTTGGTTCTTTCGGTAAAGTCACGTAGAATGGAAATAATAAAAATAAAACAATAAAATACAATTCTCACGACGTTTCGGCCACAACGCAAGCAGCCGTCCTCAGGTGAAGAACAGGTCTGTCGATAAGACAGAGTCTGTTATTTGTAGCAGTGTAGCGGTCAGCGCCGCGCTACGAACCCGGCGACCCGAGTTCGATTCCCGCTCACGGCCACCAACACCGGTGACGATTATCTGAACCGGTTCTGGGCATCCCCTAGGTCGACTCGGCCTCAAATGAGTAGCTGGTGCGGTGCATAAACATCGCCACTGGGGAGACAAAGGGGGCCGGGATTGGTGCTGGCCACCCACCCCCCTCGTGAGCCGTGCCGGCCTTCGTAGGTGCTACTCGCTAACAGCACTTGCCCCAGCAGTCTGTTGAGGCTACACGGGGGATCTTTGTCTTGTGGTTCTTGTACACGTACCACCGCTCGTTCTTGTCAATGCACTGCTGGATGAGAGCCTCGCCACCAGAAAGCAGATCAGGCAGAGAAGCAGAGGCACAATCGACTGGCTTTCTCTCTCTCTTCCCGTGTCTCTCTGTCTCTCTCCCCGTCTTTCTCTCCGTGTGTCTCTCTCCGTGTGTCTCTCTCCCCATGTCTCTCTCCCCGTGTCTCTCCCTGCGTCTCTCTCCCCGTGTCTCTCGCTCCGTGTCTCTCTCCGTGTCTCTTTCTCCGCGTCTATCTCCCCGCGTCTCTCTCCCCGTATCTCTCTCCCCGTGTCTCTCTCCCCACGTCTCTCTCCCCGCGTCTCTCTCTCCGTGTCTCTCCCCCGTCTCTCTCTCCGTGTCTCTCTCTCCGCGTCTCTCTCCCCGTGTCTCTCTCTCCCCGTGTCTCTCTCCCCGTCTCTCTCTCCCCGTGTCTCTCTCCCCGTCTCTCTCTCCCCGTGTCTCTCTCCCTGTCTCTCTCTCCCCGTCTTTCTCTCAGTGTGTCTCGCCGTGTCTCTCTCTCTCTCTGTGCCTATCTCTCCCTCTCTCCCCGTGTCTCTCTCCTCGCGTCTCTCTCCCTCTGACTGACGGACTGAGTGGAGCGTGCATTTCAGGGAGCGGTGGGGTAGTGGTTTAGCGCGCTGCACTGTGCACCCGGGCGACCCGAGTTCGATTCCCGCTCACGGCCAACATCGGTGACGATCACCCGAGTCGGTCCTGGGCCTCCCACCTAGGTCGACTCGGCCTCAAATGTGGTGTGTAAAAACGCCGCCACTGGAGAGACAAAGACGGTCTGGCGCAGTGCTGGCCACCCCCACCCCCTGGTGTACCGTGCCGATCTTCACAGGTGCTCGCTAACAGCCAACAGCTCCGCCTCTTATTACACGTTTTTATTTAACTCACTCTGCTGTTGTTGTTGTATCCTCAAATCTTGTAACTCAATTTTAACCCACTTCCCAATGTGGTATCGACTGCAAACTTCGTATACTTGTCATGCTGATGACAATACTACATTCTATCATCAAAAATAAAAAAGATATTTGTAAACAATCTTTTTTTTACACGCTTTCTATTAACTCACTCTGTCTGTTGTTGTCGTATCCTCAAATCTTGTAACTAAATTTTAACCAACTTCCCAATGCGGTATCGACTGCAAACTTGGTATACTTATGTCATACTGATGACAACACTACATTCTATCATTAAAAATAAAAACAAATATTTTTAAACATTCTTTTTTATCTGTTATGTTTCGGCTTGGGTCTAATTGTCCACGCTCAACTGACGTTGGCTGTAAATCACCACGGTCCCTTACGTTGTGGCAAGCCTCAGGGCCACTTCCTGGAGTCGTGGAGTTCTTCCATTACTAGTACGGTACATTTCAATAAAGCGTGTTTTTAAATACGTTTTTTTAAATGACTTTTTTCTGCATGGGTTTCCTCCAGACGCTGTGGTAATCAGTCAAAACAAGATTCTATGTTCACCATTGAAACCTCCTTTGCCAGTAGCAAAATATGATGTTTTTTTACCCTTTTATCTGGAAACAAAACTGACACCTTTTTTTGGCGTCATCTGGTCCAACACCATGTGAGACTAGGCTCTAAGAAAAGCGGTCTCGGGTGTGGACCAATCAATTTCAAGGACAGTGCATACATTATCAGAGTTGTGGTTTTTGTTTGCATTCCGACCGCAGGTATTGTGGTCAATGCAAACATGACTCCTTGTAAAAAAAGGTGTCAATTTTGTTGCCAGATAAAAGGGTAAACAATCTATTATCAAGATTCTATGTTGTTCCAATCTGCTTCTGACTCTAAATGTCTCCCTGATGCAGTATTATACAAGGTGGTCCAAAAGTTAGGACACATAGGGTTGTTATACAGTTCTAGATTTGAAGCTTTCGTGACTGCAAGGATTCATATTCTTAGGTTTTTTCGGTAAAGTCACGTAGGTAAAATATTAAAGTTAATAAAAATAAAAATCACGACGTTTCGGAGGCAACACAAGCTTCCGTCTTCAGGTGGAACCGTCACAGCCACGACAAGTGATACAGCTATCGTGCCGTGACGGTTCCACCTGAAGACGGAAGCTTGTGTTGCCTCCGAAACGTCGTGATTTTTATTTTATTTCACTTTTATTAATTAAAATTTTTTACCGAAGTGACTTTACCGAAAAAACCTAAGAATTTGTTATACAGTGTTGGAAACTGGGTTGAAACCGATTCGGGTGGCGAGAACAACGCGATACAAACATTGGAAGGAAGGTCATGAACATGGAAGGTTCCAGTGTAGAGACTGAAAAGGCAGGTCAAGCAAGCGCATGAGAAGCTGTGAATCAGCTGATGGACTGTGGATTGGATGTCAAGATGAGTTGAGACTAATTCCACTTCAGCTTGGACTAACCCCCCCCCCCCCCCACTTGAGCTTGGACTAACCCCCCCACTTCAGCTTGGACTAACCGCCCGCGTCGTGCGTGGAGACGTCCTTCCGCTTGCGACGTGCAGGACTGCAGTACATCTTACCTGCTGCGTGACAACGGGGGGGGAGAGAACAAACACTGGACGGTGCACGCCGCATGCACCACCCTCCTGTCCACAGTCATCGCGACAGACCCGGCTGGAAAACACTCGTCGTGAAAGTCCATCAGGCTGCTGGACACGTTACTTTATTTTACTTTCGACAGGAAGCGACAGACCCCCTTTGTTTTACCATATCAGTTATAGCAATTTTAACATTCCTCTAGGTAATGAGATATCAGTACAGCAAGCGGGTTCGCGATACCCGTCTCCAACAACCGCCGAGTGTTGTTACGCCCACAAGAGTCAAAAGTTTTTCTCCGGCACGCACTCCGGGTTTTCCTCCCAACGGAACGCTCGTTAAAATTCATCACTCCCAACACGGCGAGCGGATCTCCGAGTCCCCCGAGCCTCAGCTGTGCTTCATCGTCGGCCCCGGCTGGTGCAGGATGTATCGGCCGACCTGCCCGTCGCGCTCCAGCTCGCGCATTATGTCGTCGCGATGCATGCGCCGACGCAGAACCAGGTGGCGCCGGCCGTCCCGCCAGTAGCTCTTGCTGCGCAGGTTGTAGCGCGCGGCCACAAGGTGCACGCACTTGCGTTCGTCAAGCGTCAGCTCCGACGAGAAGGTGAGCTCGTCTTGCCGGGACGACACGGCGTACTCCCGGATCACCTCCTCCACGCTGCGCGCCGTCACCGCGCTGCCCTGGCTCGTGCCGAGCCCCTCGCGCGCCATGCGCTGGTGCACGGTAATGGGTTCCGAGATCCCCTCGCGCCCGGCCGCGCCGATCCCGCCTCCCGTCCAACCCATCTTGCGCATCAGCTGGCTGCCCACGTTGTCCTCCGACAGACGCTCGCCGCCGCCGCGTCGCAGGATGTCGCGGCGCGACACCGTCGGCCCCTGGGCGACGTTGCCGGCGTTGCCGTTGGCCGTCGGCGTGATGGTGGGGCGGGTCTGGCGCAGGAATTCTAGGCCCTGCTCGGCCACGGTTTGCTTCACCGCCTTCTTGGGCCCCACGGCGCTGGTGACGAAATCGCCGCCGATGTAGAGCGAGCAGCACCAGTGGAACACGCCGCTCGAATCCATCTGCAGCGGCTCGAAGCGGAACTCTACGTCGGTGCGGTTGAACTGCGCCGAGTTGTTGAGCACGCACACGGGATTATCGGCGTTGTCCAACACCACGAACTCGCGCAGCGTCGATCCGCGTCCGTGCCACTGCCCGCCGCAGCGCTGCTGATGCATCGTCAATTGCTTCGGCGGCGCTGCCGCCGCCGGAACGTTCCGGCTCTTGGGAGCGGGGTCGCAGAAGGGGTCCGAGAGCGCCGGCGGCAGGTCCGGCCTGGCCGGCTCCGAGCGGTCGTTGAGGACGAGGTCGTGCATGGCGGCGTCGTGCTCGACCGAGCCGAAGCCCGGGTTGGCGCTGGGCGCGGCGCCGTTGTTGCCACCGCCGCCGCGCCGAAGCAAGACGCTGCTGCGGTGCCGCGTGACCTGCTGCACGTGCACCGAGTCGCGCAGGAAGAGGCTCAGCGCCCGCTGGGTGGCGCGGTCGCGGGCGCCGTTCTTGCTGCCTGAGTAGCCGGTGGCGAGGTAGATGAGGCGGCAGCGCAGCTCGCAGGCGTAGCCCTGGGTGGGCAGCTGACGGTCCTTGGGCAGGTCGGCGGGCGCCAGCCTCGACAGCTCCACGTACGTGTACTCGGGGTTGCAGCCCGACTCCTGCGCGGCGGCCGTGAAGAGCTTGCTGAAGTTGAGCTCGCTCCTGAAGCCGCCCTCCTCGTGCAGAATCCGCTTCACCACCTTTGGTCACGGGAACAAGGGCGAGGGATGAGCGAGCGTTAACCCTTGCCGCCTGCGATGCAGCCAAGAGGCCGCGAATCAGAGGTCGCAACCGGGTTCCCGATACCCGTACCCTACCCGATACCCGGCTACCCGTTCCCGGCTGGGTACGGGTACGGGTACCTGTTTGCGACCCTGGTGCGGCCGGGTACGGGTAGGCCGTGAGTCACCGGTGAGTAACCGTTTGTCACTCATTTCGGGTAGGGTACGGGTAGCGTACAGGTACCCGTACCCAGCCGGGTACGGGTACGGCCGGGTACGGGTACCCGTTTGCGACCCTGGTGCGGCCGGGTACGGGTACGGGTAAGGAATCAAAACCTGTTTGCGACCTCTGCCGCGAATACGGTTCGGCATCGTGGTTCCACACAAAAAGGGGGCGATCGTCTCTAAAACATTGATGGTACCGCCTTCGTTTGCAGCGTCCGTCTTTTACGTTCCATCCCCGTTAGTCCGTTCACAGGTCGCCCTTGCGTACAATGCGGGGCGTTCGTCATAAATTTGACGTCAAATATTCAATAAGTTTTACTTCATCATGTGCAGGCAGACCTCGCTTAGTGCCGAAGATGCATTCATATTTACGTGTACGTGTGTGTATGTTGTGGGGAGCGGTTGTGCAGCGGTTAGCGCGCTGCGCTACCAACCCAGCGACCCAAGTTCGATTCCCACGCACGGCAAACACAGTGGCAATTATCTGAACCGGTCCTGGCTCACAGAGGTCGACTCAGCCTCAAATGAGTACCTGGGGCGGTGTTTAAACATCACCACTCGGGAGACAAAAGCAGCCAGGCGTGGTGCTGGCCACCCACCCCCTCGTGTGCCGTGCCGGCCTTCATAGGTGCTACTCGCTAACAGCACTTGCCCCAACAGTCTGGTCAGGCTATACGGGGGATCTTTAGTCTTTTTGTGTCTGTAGAACTTGTCGCACCGTACATAGCCAAACGTGCTAATCCGAGGTGAAGTGAGCGCCAATTGAAACAGGACTAAAAGGGTCATTATGGCATTGTATAATATTCGGGGATGTGTTTCCAAGAGCATTATTTGTTTCGTATGAGCAATGTATGCGGGCTTCATTGGGGTATCGGTAATGGAGCTAATAATACAGGTGATCAACATTATACTGGTAGGAACCTCCTGGTTACACCAGCCCACAGGGGATTATTGTGTCCGTCGTGCAGGGAGGGGCTGGGTGGGGAGGGGATGGTGGGGAGGAGCTGGGTGGGGAGGGTGGGAGGGGTGGGAAGGGGCTGGGTGGGGAGGGTGGGAGGGGTGGGGTGGGGCTGGGTGGGGAGGGGCTGGTCACCCCGTGGTGCCCTTATAAAACTCAACGTTTAACCTACTCACGCCGGCTTGTGCCCGCCCTCACAGTCGGCCTTAGTTGCGGAATACACCACGCCGCCGTTGACCCTGGCCACTGACCGAGCAACCCGACGTTCCTACCAGCTCCCTCCGCAGGAATGTGTTTTAATAAACAAACAGGGTAGGGAGGCCCTACCAGGAGTACAAGACTCCAGGCGATATAGTTCGGAGGGTCATTGATGTCTATTGTATCATTGTGCATTTCCCCCTAACGTGAAATTTTATAGTATGACCATGAACAATTTTCTACCACTACCAGTTTATTTGCTTTGCGACAAATGATGCATCCAATGTGTCTTCGTCGATACTGATATTATTCTAGTGGGCACGTCAACCTGTAACACCTAATTTCTGTACTTTTGGGAAAATAATCTCTCCACCATGACTGAAAGAGATGCCGCTCTAAAATCTCGCCACATACAAATCTGCAAGGAATAAAATGGACGTGTGTCATGAAGAGAGCAAAACTTGACTTTTCAAATCACATGTGCGGGATACTGGCACCCTGTCCCACTTGCCTTCTTTCATCCATGCGGGTTATGTTTGCGAGTGCTGTTTAATACAATTTCTGCAAATTTAAGTTCCACAAATAAGGGGTCTGTAGTTCTTGACCAAAAATGTTGGCTCTTGTTTTGTGATAACCAAAATGAAAGGGCCCCTCAGTAGTGGCAATTTTTTCCGAATAGGGAGTTCTCAAGCAAAACGTCCATATCCCGAAAACCCATTTTTCTCATCTTTGCTAAACAACGACAAGTTAAACAACAATTTCTTTTACATAAATCGGTTCACACCTCCCCCGTAGGATTTCCGCGGTGCAAGAACATTAATCACCTTGTGCAATCGTGTGAAGATAATCTGCCTCGGTTGAATCTTGATCTTGTCGAACGGCGACTGCGACTCCGCCTGCTGTTGCTTCGAAGGTTGTGACAGGAGCGGCTGTTTCACCACCGGTGCCGCCTTCACCGGCGCCGCCCTCACCGGCGCCACCGGTGGTGCCGGCGACGTCACCGCCACCGCGTTCCAGCTGTCCTGAGTGGGGTCCCCCAAGGAGTCGGTGAGTGCCGGCAGCACGTCCGTTCTGGGCGGCTCCGCGCGGTCGTTGAGGACGAGGTCGTGCATGACCGAGTCGTCTTCGGCGGAGCCGAGCCCCGGGTTTGCGCCGTTTTTGCCGCGGTGAAGCAAGACGCTGCTGCGGCGCCGCACAAACTGCTGCACGTACACCGAGTCGTGCAGAAAGAGGCTCAGCGCGCGCTGGGTGGCGCGGTCGCGAGCGCCGTTCTTGCCGACCCAAAAGCCGGTTGCCAGGTAGACGTGGCTGCAGCGCAGCTCGCAGGCGTAGCCCTGGGTGGATAGATGTTGCCCCGCGGGCAGATCGGCCGGCGCCAGCCTCGACATCTCCACGTACGTGTACTCGGGGTTGCAGCGCGAAGCCTGCGTGGCGGCCGTCAGGAGCTTGCTGAAGTTGAGATCATTCCTGAAGCCGCCCTCCTTTTTCAGCATCAGCGTCACCACCTTTGCGTCCGAAGGGGATTGGGGGCAAGGGTTACCATTTACATTTTACACGTTTCCCGTCAAGATTTCAATTGTAAATACATTTCGATTTAAAGCTTTCGTGACTGCAGGGATTCATCTTCTTGGTTCTTTCGGTAAAGTCGTGAGAATTATTTTATTATGTTGTATTTTTATTATTTATTATTTCCATTCTAAGTGACTTTACCGAAAGAACCAAGAAGATGTAAATATATTGTTTTCCTCTTCTTGGACTTTTCGGTAAAGTCACGTAGAAGGGAAGTAATAAAAGAATAAAAATAAACAATAAAATAATTCTCACGATGTTTCGGCCACAACGCAAGCAGCCGTCCTCAGATGAAGAACAGGTCCGTCGAGGCGACAGAGTCTGACTCTGTCGCCTTTATTTTTATTATTTTATTACTTCCCTTCTACGTGACTTTACCGAAAGAACCAAGAAGATGAATCCCTGCAGTCACGAAAGCTTTACTTCGAAATATTGTTTTCCGACACGCTCAATCGACGATGCGTGCGTTGCGAGTGCAGGAATTCACGGTGGCAGCTCCTCTGAAAGGGAAGATGAGTTCACACCCTAGGAGCGGTGCCACAGCAGAATCTACCCTCCGTCACCAACCTCCTTACTGGCAAAGCCCCCCAATCGAAACCCCCTTCGCTGGGGTCCCTCTCCTGGAAAAAGCCCCAAGCAAGGTCCCCTTCGTAGGGTTCATCCATCCTGGGAAGCAACAGAGCCCCATTCCTATCCTCCAAAATCTGGCGCATCCACGAGGCCTGTGGCTGACCCTCCTGGCCTCCTCATCCAGCCCACAAGGTTTTCTAAGCGTATTCTTAGGTTTTTTTTCGGTAAAGTCACGTAGATACAAAATTAATAAAAGTAAAATAATTAAATATATCGTGCTGTGACGGTTCCACCTGAAGACGGAAGCTTGTGTTGCCTCCGAAACGTCGTGATTTTTATTTTACTTTTATTTTACTTGTATTAATTTTAATTTTTTACCTACGTGACTTTACCACCTAAGAATATGAATCCTTGCAGTCACGAAAGCTTTCAAATCTAGAATTTCTAAGCGTAGATAACCTAGCCAAGAAAAATAGTCACATGGACAAAGTGCCATAGCAGGCATTCCCACATCATGCAGGTGACATACCTCATCTGTCTATGGGCGAGACACAAAATCATCCAGTCGGTACCCAAGTTGAGAGAGAAACCTGGTAAACAATGGAGTTCAGCTGGGCACCCAGTGATTTCCTGAACGTCCGCATCTAGGCTCTATAGAGCAAAGCAGAAACGCAATAAAACACACAGCTTCGTTCTAGATTTTAAGTTTTCATGACTGCAAGGATCCATACTCTTTGTTTTTTTCGGTAAAGTCACGTAGGTGAAAAAAAATTATAAAGAGAAAAAAACAACTTAATTTAGTTGTTTTTCTATTTTATTTTTTTTCACCGACGTGACTTTACCGAATAAACCAAAGAGTACACAGCTTCGTCCTTCTCCCGCATCATTCTTGCTGGTGCCACTGCCACCACCACCACAGACAAAAACATTCCCAGCAGTCCGGATTGCCGGATGGGATTACTCCAGAATTCACTGGGAAGAAACCAGAGGTACTTCTACCACAATTCAGAGCACTCGCAGTTCACGAATAAGAGGCCAGTCATCAGATAAACAACCTTTGCCGGAATTCGACTAGGTTGCTGGCACTCCCAGGGCGTGGCGTCCTGACGCGCCGAATCGATCGCCTTCTTCGGATCAACGTGGGCTGCAAGCAGCTTTCTCCCACAACTCCCAAAAGGCACTCAACAAGGACACACAAGTGCTAGCGCCACGGTGGCGAGATGTTAACTACCTCGCCTGGTGTGCAGGAGGTCGTGGGTTCGATCCCGACCCTGACACTCCCTGTGGTCGAGTGGAGTATTTGGCTGCTATAAATTGCCACATGATGATAAGCCACTTTTTTCAGCTATCATTTGTGGCCAGGTCGCTTCTGAAAAAGAGCTATGTAGCTCAGTGGGTCTTACCTGGTAACATATAGTTTAGTTTAATGTAGCGAGGCTTCGGTCCTAACACTTCAAGTTATGGACCAAAGCCAGACTGTTTGGGCAGCTGAATTAACAGATGATCGCAGACCCCTGCCAGATGCACATATGGCAAAAGCTTGCAAGGCACTGTGAGCACAATAACACAGTGGTATTTGTACAAGTTTATGCTGGTCATCCTTGCTCAACGGAATGGTTATCATTTCAGAACAGCTGGAATGATACTAGACTGCCCAATTGCTCACGGGATTAATATAAACCTATCCACCAGAGGTCGCAAACGGGTTTTGATTCCTTACCCGTACCCGGCCGCACTAGGGTCGCAAACGGGTACCCGTACCCGGCCGTACCCGTACCCTACCCGTACCCGGCCGGGTACGGGTAGGGTACGGGTATCGGGTACCCGATTGCGACCTCTGGGATGAAGCCATGTGGCAGGCGCGAGTGGGTTGATTCTAGGAACTTGAATTGTGAGAAGAGACAAGACGTTGGGAAATGAGTGACAAACGGTTACTCACCAGTGACTCAAGGCCTACCCGTACCCGGCCGCACCAGGGTCGCAAACGGGTACCTGTACCGTACCCGGCCGGGTACGGATAGCCGAGTATCGGGTAGGGTACGGGTATCGGGTACCCGATTGCGACCTCTGCTATCCACTACCTATCGGGAGTTACAGAAGAGATGCCTCAATCAACACAATGAACCTGGCATCTTGGAGCCAAGACTGAGGACTCTCAAACTCTACCTAACCCATTATCACCACCTTTAACTGTATACACCCATTTTTTATTCTTGTGCAACATCATAACTCCATTCTGTGCTGCCACAAACGAAATTATTTGCCTATCGGCCTCTAATTAGCTTTCCAATCCAATATTTTCCATATTTTCCAAATTAAACAGATGCTGCGAAATAAAAAATAGTCTGGAAAACCAGAAGGCCAATGGAACAAAAAAAACACATTTGATTTATAAATGGAGGCACAGAACAGAGTTCTGTATAAATACATTGAACTACCAATTCGTTTAAAATTTAAACCAAGGTTAAACATGTAAAACAATTGACAACTCCCGTCCATCCCGCATTTGAAAGGTAGTTACCTTGTGTAGCCGTGTGAAGATCGCCTGCTTCCCCGCGATTATGCTGCTACTGAACGGCGACTGCCGCAGATTCACAGCTTGCTGCTGCGGCTCCTGTTTCACAGCTTGTTGCTTCTGCTGCTGCTGCTTCAGAGTTTGCTGCAGCTGCTGCGGCTCCTGCTTCACAGCTTGTTGCTGCTGCTGCTGCTTCAAAGCTTGCTGCAGCTGCTGTTGCTCCTGGTCCAGAGGTTGCTGCTGCGGCTCCTGTTTCACAGCTTGTTGCTGCGGCTGCTGCTTCAAAGCTTGCTGCAGCTGCTGCTGCTGCTGCTTCAGAGCTTGCAGATGCAGTGCTTGCTGCTGCTTCAGAGCCTGCTGTTGCTGTTGCTGCTTCAGAGCCTGCTGCTGCTGCTGCTGCAACAAACTGAGCGACAGCGGCAGAGCGGGCCCTCTGCTGCCGCCTGGCCTCGGTTGCTGCATTCTGGGCGATGCCCCGGTGGTGCCGGCTGGCTTGAAGCGCTGGCGATAGTCGGCTTGCAGCTGGGCTGCGTAGTCCGACAGCGTCGACGACTTTTGGACTGTGGCCTGCTCGCTCCCTGCTGCAGCCGATGGTTTCGGAGGCGAAGCAGCAGACGTCGTTCCATGCTGCTTCTGTTGATGCAGCTGCGGCGGCTGTTGCTGCGGCTGCGTCTGGCCTTGGGTGACGGCGCCTTGTAAGATGGACACGAGGAGCCCCACTCCCGACGGGTCGGTGCGCAACTGAGTCTCCACCATCTTCTCGAATTGCGCGCGGAGACGCTCCTCAGCTTGCGCCTGCGATGGTCAGAATGCAACTCTTGTTACATCTTAGCCGTGGGACAATATCAAAACGGGTACCAGCTGCAGTTCGACAATTGCATTCCCCTGCCACTGCTGGTGGAACGGCCACCACGAGAGGGAGCTCGACAGCACGTCAAGAAGGTACCGGGTCGTCCTCTACTTACGATGGAGATGCGTTATGACGACCCCATCGTAAGTCGAAAATATCGCAAGTCGAAGATGGCCTAGCCTACCCAGGAGTCTTAAAGAATGGTGATATTTGAGGAAACAGAGTACCGTACAGTACCGTACTGTATAAACTATATACTGTATGTATTTATTAATTACAATACAGTAAAACCTTGGATTGCGAGCACAATTCGTTCAGGAAACGTGTGTTCGTAATCCAAAGCACTCGTGTATCAAAGCGAATTTCCCCGTAAGAAATCATGGAAACTCAAATGATTCGTTCCACAACCCAAAAATACTGTGTTCATACAAAAATTATGAATACAACATACCTTTTTCTATTTTTATTACTTAAATGTAATATAAAGTAAATCAAATTTATTAACTAAATTTAATCGTGGCTGGTGTGAGGGAGACGAGAGAGAGGAGAGGAGGGTTATTGTGGAGGACGACTTTCACTTGCAGTACAGTTACTAAAGAACAGTCACTACACTTGGACACAAAATAAAACAATGCTTTACCCACACACACACACACGTGGTCACAACACTATAGTAAACAGTATACGCTCGCACGGATGTTGACTCTACGAGTGAGGCACGCCGACTGAGACCGAGCATCGGAGACGATTACCCACAATCCCGCAGCGAGAGAAGAACCATTGGCTCAGTTGTGATCACGTGACGCTCGGCAAAGCGTATTTACTGTACGTACTGCAGTGCTCGTATTGCAAGACATCGCTCGTTTATCAAATTAATATTTACGTACATTTTTTGCTCGTCTTGCAAAACACTCACAGACCAAGTTACTCCCAATCCAAGGTTTTACCGTACTGTATTGCACAGTAAAATGTGAAGTAAAAAAAAAACCAGGGCAAATTCTTAGCCTACCTATAGGAACTGCAATTTAATAGAAAGTTTCTTCAGGAAACAATCCTATCTGCTATAAAAAACTTTTAACGTGCATTGAACGTATCGTATCGTGGTAACCCTAAAATGAAATCGCTAAAGCTACGTATCACACATGCATTGAATGTATCGTTCGCCGCTGCGTTTGCCTGCCGCGCGAAATGTAAAATATTTTACAATTTTGTCGTATCACTATCGCCATCGTAAGATCGAAATATCGTACGTCGGACCATCGTAACTCGGGGACTACCTGTATTCTATCATACTCCTCTTGGCAGAGGTGGGAGAACCCACACTTGACCCCACGCTCATGACCTTCCGATTGTGGTTGTACCCATCTACACCGCTCGGTCAGGCGATGGGAAACCTGCGGCTCCTGTGCCTCCTATGTGGCTCTTTAAGAGCCGCTTGGCGACGTTATTTATTCAGGGACGCGCCCCGTCTCGTATTCACATTGCGGCTCTTGAATTATTGAGTTTTCTTGTTTACCGAATTTTATAAACAAATATATGGCTCTTCTTGTTATTTTGGTTTGCTGAGCGTTGCGTTTAGGTGGACAGGGGGGCTGAGGGATTCAAGAAACTCTCCCAATGCTTCGACAGTGACGCCGGTAGATCGAATCAACCTGTGACCTCCGGATTGCAAGTCCAGTGCGCTATCACCCCATAGCAGCATCCCACTTAATAAGGCGGATGTGTAAGTACTCAGGGTGGTGCAGGTTGCACTGTGCTGATGAAATGACCAGTCCACCGTTTGCTTGATTACAGTGTTCATGGAACCACAATGGTACAAAAGCCCCCGCCAAAGTCTGAGGACCCAAATATTGCCATTTTATTTTCACGCGCTGAGACACGACCCTTGGATTTACATTTTACTTTAGTTTATTTCTAGGTCGTGACATAAAAAAAACTAGATGGCAGCACGGTCAGTGGGTGTTTAAACTCATACATATGGACCTCTGAGTGTTATAATCAGATTTATATTCTTAGGTTTTTTCGGTAAAGTCACGTAGGTAAAAAAGAATTCAAATTAATAAAAGGAGGCAACACAAGCTTCCGTCTTCAGGTGGAACCGTCACAGCACGATTGCTGCTGTATCAAGTGAGAGAAATTCCAAGAAAACAGTCCTTGTATATATACTGGTTGAGGGTGAGAGGAGCCAAGGTAGGCCCTGGATATTATTTTTGTGAGGTTCGGTGCGGCTGAAGCACGCTGTTATAATCAGGTTTCTCCGACGCCGAAACATCGAAAATGCTCATCAGAAATGGCGAAACAGCACAACGCAGAAGACTGCTTAAAAATCAGTCTTTTGAGACCGAGGCTTTCCTGGATAATTAATATTATTACGATGAACGTACGCAGGTGGCACCAACCTGATTTTCTGCCGCAGCCTTGTTTCCCGTGCCACTCTGATGCACCTGCAGCTGTGCCTGCACCATCGCCTGCAGGTGCTCCTGCAGCTGGTTCTCCAGCTGAGATCGCAGATCGCTCGTGGAATTAACCGACGACTGCTGAGCTCCCACACCTCCGACACTTCCTCCAACGCCTCCACCTCCAGCGCCTCCAGAATTTCCTCCAAAACCGTCGCCAACATTGCCTACCCCAGGTTTACATCCACCGTCGTCACCGACGTTGTTGGAAGGCCCGGCACCGGCGGGCTTCTGCGAACGGACAAACTGAATGGGCTCGAAGCGCGGCCGATACGTCGCTTGCGGCGCCGCGGTGGATTTCTCGCCGTCGGTGCCGGCACCGCCGGTGGCCGACTCGACCGATGCCAACCTCGCTCTTTTTTCCGACGTGGCCGAGTCGCTTGGCTCCGAGTTGCCGCCGCCGCCGCCAGATGCCGGTTCTTCGGCTGTAGCGGTGACAGAGAGCGCAACGCCGGCAATGCGCGAGTATTCCATTTGACACTATGGGAACCTCATTTGCCAGTAAAAATATGATAATTGGTTTTTTACCCTTCTATCTGGCAACAAAACTGACACCTTTTTACAAGGAGTCATGTTTGCATAGACCACAATACCTGCGGTCGTAATACAAACAAGTTATGTTCTTTTGTTTGTATTATGACTGCAGGTATTGCGGTCTATGCAAACATGACTCCTTGTAAAAAGGTGTCAGTTTTGTTGCCAGATAGAAGGGTAAAAAAACAATTATCATATTCCATTTGAATCGCGTCACCGCACCGTTTGCCACGATGTGAACGCTTTCAGAAAATTGTTGTTTAAGATGCTGGGATAAAGAGATAGGACTCACCGGGTCGTTTAAGCGCGGAGATAGGCTGACCGAGAACATTGAACTTAGGGCGTTGGTCAACTTCAATTCCCTTCGCCATCTCAGTCACCTTCTTCATCAGCTCCGACTTGTATCTGACATCATCATCATCAGCAGAAACATTGCCTTTGTTACTGGTAGGAACCACCTGGTTCCACAAGCCCACAGGGGATTATTGTGTCCGTCCGTTCATCGTGCATCCAAAAATGGGAGGGGTGGGGCTGGGTGGAGAGGGGAGGGTGGGGAGGGGCTGGGTGGGGAGGGTGAGGCTGGGTGGGGGGTGGGAGGGGTGGGGCTGGGTGGGGAGGGGCTGATCACCCCGTGGTGCCCTTATAAAACTCAACGTTTAAGCTACTCACGCCGGCTTGTGCCCGCCCTCACAGTCAGCCATATTTGCGGAATACACCACGCCGCCGTTGACCCTGGCCATTGACCGAGCAACCCAACTTTCCTACCAGCTCCCTCCGCAGGAATGTGTTATCATCATCAGCGGCAGCATCAGTTTTAATTTAAACAGCACGGCTCTAACATCTCAAGAAACGTGCCGACTGCTCACGCAACCTACTTAGTAGTGTGCGAATCACAGTTTGCGAGCTGACGGCTTAAGACATTCGAACAAAGTACCATCCACGTGAATATTCTCTGCTCACAAATTTTCTTTAAAGCAAGTGGTGGAGAACATTTTCCTTTCACGCGCTTTTGCGTTACGAAAAAGTTGAGTGCTCAAAAATTAGAAATACAGTGTTGCCGGGTGATAAATAAAATGTTCCCCACTAGTACCCAGTGCGGCTAACATGCTTAAAGTGACGGATAAATATCGCTTGCAAGCCGTTTCAAAGTGGGAGGCCTCACGTGGCTACAGGCCGTATGAAATTAAGTTGCATACCATAACTGACCCATGGACAAGAGGTAGCCCACACCTGACAACTGCTCGCGTAACTCGAAGGATGGGTTCACACTGACGTTAGCGCAAAATGTGTCTGCAACACCACAGTGGAACTTAACGTTAAAGCCACTTGGTATGTCGCATGATGAGTTTTTAACGATTGGCTCCATCCACTCACTCGGCTGCACCCCAATTGGCTGCCGATTCAAACCACGCGAAAGAGTTCTACCGACGTTTCCTGCTGCCGCCCTTACTGGACATCTGCGACAAAAAGCTTCACAACTCAGTCGAAATTAAGATTCTGATACTGAGAACGGAGTTACAACCCAGAACCGATCTTCCAAAAAGCCAGATTTCAACTGCAAGTCGCTCCAAGCCTGGGGCTTGTCATTCAGACTCTCTGTCTCCTCGACAGACTTGTTCTCCACCTGAGGACGGCTACTTGCGTTGTGGCCGAAACGTCGTGAGAATTATTAAATGTTTTATTCTTATTATTTTATTATTTCCCTTCTACGTGACTTTACCGAAAGAACCAAGAAGATGAATCCCTGCAGTCACGAAAGCTTTAAATCGAAATGCAAGACATGACACAAGAACCCTGACCGCACCTGCACCCCAGGAAGATGTGGTTCACCCAAACCATGGAGAGGGAGATGAGCCGATCCAGATCGTCGCCGCGGAATCGCTCGAGGTTCTGCGCCAGGAATCGCCGTCGCGCCTGCCATTCCTTGACGCTCTCTTGGGGGAGTTGCAGCGAGTCGAGCAGAGCGCTGTCTTCCTCACTGTCTCGCTCACCATCCGGCTCGCCGACTCGCTCAAGGTCTTGCTTGCCATCCCGCTCGCCCGCCATCGTGGGAGGGTGAACCTGTCTTTCTGTGTCTTCACATCACCACCGTCATCATCACTTAGTACTTGTTATCGCACCGCGAAATGAACTAAGAAGCGCAGTTCAACCGAGCACTTGCGCATAGATGGCGCACGTAACATATCGCTTGTAACGAATATTATTGAATTAATTATATTGTAAGTAGCAGTATGTGCGTTGTTTGTGTGTACGTATGTTGAACTTCTTTCACACAGTACGTAGCTAACCGTAAAATAAATAGTAGTAGCAGTCTCAACGGGTTCCTACATGGTTGAAATGTATGAATGACTAACACACACACACTGCTTCATGATACCCTATCTATAATACACACAAAATCAAATCCTTCAAAGATTTATGCAGGAAAGTCGCTCCTGTACTCTATACTAGTGACTTAGTGAACGTCTTAAAAAAGTTATATACACACACAAAAACAGATGTTCTCTTTTATAACAACAGTTTAACATTGCAACAGCGAATGTTGAACAAGTTCTACGCTGCATAACCAACACAGCCAATGTTTCGATTTAAAGCTTTCGTGACTGCAGGGATTCATCTTCTTGGTTCTTTCGGTAAAGTCACGTAGAATGGAAATAATAGTCATAAAAGAAAACATAATAAAATAATTCTCACGACGTTTCGGCCACAACGCAAGCAGCCGTCCTCAGGTGGAGAACAGGTCTGTCGAGAAGAGAGAGTCTGACATTTACCGAAAGAACCAAGAAGATGAATCCCTGCAGTCACGAAAGCTTTAAATCGAAACATTGGCTGTGTTGGTTATGCAGCGTAGAACTTGGTTCAACATTTGCTGTTGCAATGTTAAATTTCAGACTCTGTCCTCTCGACAGACCTGTTCTCCACCTGAGGACGGCTGCTTGCGTTGTGGCCGAAACGTCGTGAGAATTATTTTGTTATGTTTTCTTTTATGACTCTATTATTTCCATTCTACGTGACTTTACCGAAAGAACCAAGAAGATGAATCCCATATGTTATCGCACTGTAAAACGGCACTGTACGTCAACAGACCTCTTGGGCAATCCAACTCCTGACTGTTTAAAGTTAACCGACCATACTTCACCACCCTGGTCAGTCCGTGTTGATGAAATCGGAGAGGGGAGGGATGATAGAGAGAGAGATAGAGAGAGAAAGAACGCAATTCGTGGACAATTTTAGTTACAATTCTGTGCAAATTGTTAAGCCGGCAGGCGTTTGAAGGTCCCCCCGTGAGAGACGGCGGCTACTTTCTTTTGACAGCTACGACGACGAAACGCGCTGTACACTCGCACGGAAAGCCTCCCGGTCTAACAAGTGTCGCCTCGGCAAGGCAAGCGTCTAGAACGTCGGCAATTTGCGTTAGAAGCCTCGGCGCGGCCTTCAAAGCCGAGCCACCCGCACCGCATGTGCCGCATTACAATTCAAACGCCGCGGCAATTTATTAAATTAGCGGCAAAACCTCACAAACGCGCGAAGTTAACGGCTACAGCAATGACGATTTCAAATAAAATAAACCCTTGCAATGGTTGGGTAATAGGCCGCTTAGATGAAGCATTGCACGGGCCTAGGCCGTAGCGGCCTACCGCTATCCTACATTAAATAATGAATTTAAACTGAATCTCCTCACCTCAGGCGAACGAGCGCCTTAAGATCTCCATGTCGTCGTTTGACGTGAGGATGTCGGCAACAACGAGGATGTTCTGTTCGTAACAAAAATGTAAACGGTGAGTGTTAGGTAGCAAAAATTGTGTAAAGTTTTCTACAAAACGGCTTCTCGAAAAAACGCCGCCGCCTGTAACCGCCGAGCGAACTGGCAAAAAACGAAATGGCGCCGGCTCGAAGCCGCCTTGCTAATCGATCGCCGATCGATCGCGGTCGATCGCGTCTCTCTGTGGCTCGATTAGTATGGTCTATATTCTTAGTTTTTTTTAAAATCCTTTATATTAAGTTCACTTGCTTGCGTGCTTGCTTGCTTGCTTAGGACCGTGCAAATCTTTCGCTCGTTTTTTAACCCACTTCCCGTGATCCAATCGAGCTGACATTTTGCACACAGACTCGTTGTGCCAGACAATTAATGTTCGTGAAAAAAAATTCTCAAAATGTTACACTTTTTAGGCAAAAAAATTTATTTTACATATATTCAAATAGAACTCATTCATGGCTTTGGCTGAACGTCACAGTGTAAGAGCCCAGAGCGTAACCCCTCCACAGGCCGTGGCGGAGTAGCGCAGTTGGTAGCGCCCTCGCTTCCCATGCCAAAGGTCGCGGGATCGATCCCTGCGTCCTCCACAGATGAATATATTTTTAAATCCTTTATATTAAGTTCGCTGCCACGCATATAAATGATTTATAGTGAAAAACTTTGTTTTTACGGGTTATACTTATTTAAATCCTTTATATTAAGTTCACTTGCTTGCTTGCTTAGGACCGTGCAAATCTTTCGGTCGTTTTTTAACCCACTTCCCGTGATCCAATCGAGCTGAAATTTTGCACACAGACTCGTTGTGCGAGACAATTAATGTTCGTGAATTTTTTTTCCAAAATTATACACTTTTTAGGGAAAACAAATTAAATATTTAATTACCAATTGCTTAATACTGCAGACAATCATCTGACCCATAGGTGGCAGCCATCTCAAGCCAGAGGACGAGAGGACTCTAGCCGCCACGCATATAAAGGATTTATAGTGAAAAACTTTGCTTTTACGGGTTAATTTTTTTTCGGTAAAGTCACGTAGGTAAAACATTAAAATTAATAAAAAATAAAATAAAAATCACGACGTTGACGGTTCCACCTGAAGACGGAAGCTTGTGTTGCCTCCGAAACGTCGTGATTTTTATATTTATTTTATTTGACTTTTATAAATTTTTATTTTTTTACCTACGTGACTTTACCGAAAAAACCTAAGAATATGAATCCTTGCAGTCACGAAAGCTTCAAATCTAGAATTAGTGTGGTTTAGTCGGTGGGGTGGGGTGATGGAGAGGTGGGGTGGGGTGATGGAGGGGGGGGTGATGGAGAGGTGGGGTGGGGTGATGGAGGGGGGGGGTGATGGTGGGGGGGGGGGGGTGATGGAGGGGGGGGGTGATGGAGGGGGGGGTGTGTCAGGTTGCGTGCTCCTGATTGGTTGGCGACGCGGGCACGTGTCCCGGGTGGGAGGAGCCTTCTGGTAATTCGGACAAATCTCCTGACGATATATTAGCCGTAATACAAGTTCAATTTCATGTATTAGGTAATAGCTCTGGTGAGCCATTCGGCTCTTGAATCGGGTGCAACCGCAACAAACAAAAAACATGAACAAAAAAACATCTTAAAGTGAATATGTGACTAAGTGCAAACAGAAAATTCAAGAAAAAACAGCTAAATATTGCAGGAAAAAATCACCGTACACCAACGCTGTGTGCAAAAATCCCAGTGGGATGCAAGTCAAACAACAACAACCACAAGACAACTTAGATTAAGGTCATCAGTCAAACTCTGTACTACTGCAAACAAACATGGCCAAACCAATACACTTTTCGAAATCACCAAAATAAAGCCATGAAAGCAATTAAACAGTGATCAGACAATATTGATTTGAAGCTTTCGTTACTGCAGGAATCGATACTCTTTGGTTCTTTCGGTAAAGTCACGTAGGTAGAAAAATAATAGATCACGACGTTTCGATCGCAACGCAAGCAATTGTCATCAGGTGGGACAACAGTTCAACACGTGACCTTTCGCGACCAATAGCATCCCAAACTACAGGTTGTTTTTTTTGTGGTTAGATCGCGTAAATATATGGATGTGTCGTTAAACCCGCCAAAATTATAATACTCCAACTGATGCTCCTGCTGCTGTTGTGGAGTGACTCATGCAGCCAGCTATGGCTGCAGGGTTTTGGTAGTACATGTTGTTTATGTCATTTATTGTGAAAATTCCGTCAGTTCCTATGATCACTGTTTCATTGCTTTCATGGCTTTATTTTGGTGATTTCGAAAAGTGTATTGGTTTAGCCATATTTGTTGTAGTACGGGGTTTGACTGATGGCCTTAATCTAAGTTGTCTTGTGGTTGTTGCTGTTTGACTTGCATCCCACTGGGATTTTTGCACACAGTGTTGGTGTACGGTGATTTTTCTGCAATATGTTGCTGTCTTTTCTTGGATTTTCTGTTTGCACTCAGTTACATATTCACTACAAGATGTTTTCTTGTTCATGTTTTAGTTTTTTGTTTGTTGCGGTTGCACCCGATTCAAGAGCCGAATGGCTCACAGAGCTACACCTAATACATGAACTTGAACTTGAACCACCCGACACAGCTAATTAGTAAGGTTTATCACATAAACAGAACGTGGCCAATTCGTTACTAGTACAGCACACCGGTGTGTTGGAGAGCCAATCCACAACATTTACAATCTGAGTGCCGTGACGTTTCGCCGGTAATCACAACTAGCTTCATCAGGCTACAGCCAGATTTGTGGAGAAGTCCTCTTGTTTACTTCCGTAACATTGTAAAGGGTTCATCTTCTTGGTTATTTCGGTAAAGACACGTAGAAGGGAAGTAATAAAATAATAAAAATAAAACATAATAAAAATAAAACATAATAAAATAATTCTCACGACGTTTCGGCCACAACGCAAGCAGCCGTCCTCAGGTGAAAACCAGGTCTGCCGGGGAGACAGCGTCTGAATGAAACAGCACACAGACGCTGTCTCCCCGACAGACCTGGTTTTCACCTGAGGATGGCTGCTTGCGTTGTGGCCGAAACGTCGTGAGAATTATTTTATTATATTTTATTTTGTATTATTTTATTAAATTCATTCTACGTGACTTTACCGAAAGAACCAAGAAGATGAATCCCTGCAGTCACGAAAGCTTTAAATCGAAATTGTAAAGGGTTTTTTGGGGGGATACGTATAAATGTTGTCAGTTTAACACGGAGGCTTTCTCGATCAATGTTGTCCATAATTCGTTACTAGTTGTTTTGGGTTAGATCGTGTAAATATAAGTGTGTCGTTAACCCGCCACCACCCGACACAGCCAAATTGGTCAAGGTTTGTCACGTCAACAAAACGTGCAGATCAGTTACTTACTTCAGCAGTAAAACCCACTGCTTCACAATTCTGGAAAATCACCTAATGATGTTATCCACATCATTAGGTGATTTTTTTGGGGTAAAATATAAATGCGTCAATTTAACACGTAGGCTTTCGCGAACAATATTATCCATGATTCGTGACTAGTTCAGGAACGAATTATGAATACGTAGTTCATCACACGGGTGTGCTGACTATAGTGGAGTCATGGGCCACTTTATATATACCCCTTCTCTACCCCTATCACTACCCCTATCACTACCCCTATCACTACCCCTATCACCACCCATACCCCCCTTTCCTACCCCTATCACTACCCCTATCACTACCCTTATCACTACCCCTATCACCACCCATACCCCCCTTTCCTACCCCTATCACTACCTCTATCACTACCCCTTCTCTACCCCTATCACTACCCCTTCTCTACCCCTATCACTACCCCTATCACTACCCCTTCTCTACCCCTATCACTACCCCTATCACTACCCCATCACTACCCCTATCACTACCCCTTCTCTACCCCTATCACTACCCCTATCACTACCCCTATCACTACCCCTATCACTACCCCTATCACTACCCCCTTCACTACCCCTATCACTACCCCTATCACTACCCCTATCACTACCCCTATCACTACCCCTATCACTACCCCTTCTCTACCCCTATCACCACCCCTATCACTACCCCTATCACTACCCCTATCACTACCCCTATCACCACCCATACCCCCCTTTCCTACCCCTATCACTACCCCTATCACTACCCCTTCTCTACCCCTATCACCACCCCTATCACTACCCCTATCACTACCCCTATCACCACCCATACCCCTTCCACTACCTCTTCCACTACCCCTATCACTACCCCTTCTCTACCCCTTCTCTACCCCTATCACTACCCCTATCACCACCCATACCCCCCTTTCCTACCCCTATCACTACCCCTATCACTACCCCTTCTCTACCCCTATCACTACCCCTATCACTACCCCTTCTCTACCCCTATCACTACCCCTATCACTACCAATACCCCTTCCACTACCCCTATCACCACCCCTACCCTTCTCTACCCCTATCACTACCCCTATCACTACCCCTATCACTACCCTTATCACCAGCCCTACCCCTTCCCTACCCCTCTCACTACCCCTATCACCACCCCTACCAATACCCCTACCCCTTTCACAACCCTTATCACCACCCCTACCCCTTTCCTACCCCTCTCACTACCCCTATCACCACCCCTACCAATACCCCTACCCCTTTCACAACCCTTATCACCACCCCTACCCCTTTCCTACCCCTCTCACTACCCCTATCACCACCCCTTACCAATACCCCTACCCCTTTCACAACCCTTATCACCACCCCTACCCCTTTCCTACCCCTCTCACTACCCCTATCACCACCCCTACCAATACCCCTACCCCTTTCACAACCCTTATCACCACCCCTACCCCTTTCCTACCCCTCTCACTACCCCTATCACCACCCTTACCAATACCCCTACCGCTTTCACAACCCTTATCACCACCCCTACCCCTTCCCTACCCCTCTCACTACCCCTATCACCACCCCTACCAATACCCCTACCCCTTTCACAACCCTTATCACCACCCCTACCCCTTCCCTACCCCTCTCACTACCCCTATCACCACCCTTACTAATACCCCTACCCCTTTCACAACCCTTATCACCACCCCTACCCCTTTCCTACCCCTCTCACTACCCCTATCACCACCCCTACCAATACCCCTACCCCTTTCACAACCCTTATCACCACCCCTACCCCTTTCCTACCACTCTCACTACCCCTTTCACTAACGCTCACCCTACCCACAACCCCTCCTTAAACTCTCCCGCCTGTACTCCTGTCACCATAACTACACCCCAACTTTGACCAATAACCCCGCTCTTTATCGCAACCGCTATCATCCCATAATTGTTGCGAAACGCCTTGGATGAACGCACTCTCTATAGATACACATCTACATTGGGTAATATTCGCCCTCTCATGTTGATGTCCTTTATTTAATCAGTGTGAGCTCTGTTTAACATTCATTATTCACACGTGTCAATGTCGCCCCTTTATTTTGACGCCCCTCAATTTTAATCACGCGAGAGCACTTTGGGGTTCGCTTTTACATCTTGTATTTAACTAAGGCGAGCGAGAGCCAAATGAATTGGCCTTGAGAGCAATGGCCTGTATATTTAACCCGATTGGAGTGCATTGAGATGCAGCGTCTCTTGCGATGTCCTCTGTACACCCAGGACTTTCAAATACTTTTGGTGAGGTCACACATTCGTTTTCTTGGTTCTTTCGGAAAAGTAACGTAGAAGGGAAATAATAAAATAATAAAAATAAAACATAATAAAATAATTCTCACGACGTTTCGCCCACAACGCAAGCAGCCGTCTTCAGGTGGAGAACAGGTCTGTCAAGTAGACTCTGTCTAGACCAGGGGTCGGCAACCAAAATAACAAGAAGAGCCATTTCTTTCCAATTCGGTACAAAATTCAGTATTTCAAGAGCCGCAATGCATCTGAGTACATCGTACTCATCGTCAAGAAGCAGCCCGTAAAGAGCCGCATGCGGCTCCGGAGCCGTAGGTTGCCGACCCCTGGTCTAGACTCTGTCTACTTGACAGACCTGTTCTCCACCTGAAGACGGCTGCTTGCGTTGTGGCCGAAACGTCGTGAGAATTATTTTATTATGTTTTATTATTTTATTATTTTCCTTCTACGTGGCTTTACCGAAAGAACCAAGAAGATGAATCCCTGCAGTCACGAAAGCTTTACATCGAAATTTCACACATTCGTTGACAACTAATTCTGACTGCGCTTCGACTGCATGCTTCTACCGTGCATTCACAACTACTTACAAGTAAACCCGTAAAAACAAAGTTTTTCCCTATAAATCCTTTATATGCGTGGCGGCTAGAGTCCTCTCGTCCGTTGGCTTGAGATGGCTGCCACCTATGGGTCAGATGATTGCAATGCACCATTAAGCAATTGGTAATTAAATATAATATTTTAGTCCTAAAAAGTGTAAAATTTTGGAAAAAAATTTTCACTAACATTAATTGTCACGCACAACGAGTCTGTGTGGAAAATGTCAGCTCGATTGGATCACGGGAAGTGGGTTAAAAAACGACCGAAAGATTTGCACGTTCGTAAGCAAGCAAGCACGCAAGCAAGCAAGCGAACTTAATATAAAGGATTTAAAAAAGACGAGGCGACAAGGGCGCTAAAATTAGCGTTGCTGCCAGGATGCTCGCAGGAGTGGATAGATTGGGACGATCCGGTGGCGATGTTAACTACCTCGCCTGGAGGTCGTGGGTTTGATCCCGACCCCAACGTCTGTATATTTGGGGTCGACTTTTTATCTCTCTCTCTCTCTCTCTCTTCCCCCGTGGTCACGTGGATTTTTCTCCAGGTCCTCCGGGTTTTCCTCCGCATTTAGAAACATGCGTTCAACGTATTTGGCTGCTATAAATTCTGACGTGATAAGCCACTTTGTTGCGCTGGTCAGGACGCTTCTGAAAAGACCTATATGGCTCAGTGGGCCTTACCTGGTAAAATAACATGTTGAGATAGTGGGTCCTTTGAGAGTGGTAGGCTGCACACGTGGCTATGGGCCATATGAATTCATGGACCATGCATTCCCAAAACTATCTTAAAGGTTACCAGTAGTGTAAGCAATTTGATAAGGCAGGTGGCACAAACACATTCCTGCGGAGGGAGCTGGTAGGAACGTTGGGTTGCTCGGTCAATGGCCTGCAGGGTCAACGGCGGCGTGGTGTATTCCGCAAATATGGCCGACTGTGAGGGCGGGCACAAGCCGGCGTGAGTAGGTTAAACGTTGAGTTTTATAAGGGCACCACGGGGTGACCAGCCCCTCCCAACCCAGCCCCACCCCTCCCAGCCCCACCCTCCCAACCCAGCCCCACCCCACCCTCCCTCCCCACCCTCCCTTCTCCACCCAGCCCCACCCCTCCTATTTTTGGATGCACGATGGACGGACACAATAATTCCCTGTGGGCTGGTGTATCCAGGAGGTTCCTACCAGTAAAAGGATTTATTAGTGGCCATATGGTACAAGTCAACGGACCATCATAAGATACGCATAAATGCAACCAATATTGAGAATAACATCGTAAAGAAATAAAATCAGAAAGAATATCTCCCATTAAGTTATGTTTATTAGCAAAACCAATGACAGAGAACGTATACTTACAGTACACAGTTCAGGAGATGAGAAAGGAATAATTTTCGTCCAGAGTTCAGTTCTGGATGGTCGTGTGGTGATTGTGTATCAATCACACTTGATACATTAATACGAAACCCTGGCTTTCCGCAAATATTTTTAACCACAGATCCCTAGCGTCGCCACGAGAGATCCTATCGGCATTCGCTCTTCCAACAAATATCTTGGAAGCTAAGCACAACCGGGCATGGATAGTGCTCAGATGAGTAACTAATATGCACACCAGGTTGCCACAGTCGGCTGCAGGACCATGTGGCAGGCAGTGCAGTAAAATTCACGGTTATTTTGTACATTTTTGCTCCCCACATTTCCACAAGACCAGCGTGGTAAAGTATGGGTAAATGACCTCACAATCCGTAAGGCATGCAGAGGCCACATCCAGCGGTGGATTTATAAAGGGCACGACGTGTACTTGATAAGCTGTGAAGCTACAATGGCAGCATGTCCAGCAGGTTTCTGACAGGCCTTCTGTGAAGCAGAATTTCAGCGTGACTTTGCACAACTCTTGAGGATATTTGTCCTATTCTTCCACACTGGTCAGATGTCTTGGAAGCATAAAAGTTTTTTTTTATTTTACCAGGTAAGGCCCCACTGAGCTATACAGCTATTTTTTTAGAAGCGACCTGGTCATCACAAATCATAGCTCAACGAAGTGGCGTATCACGTGGAAATTTATAGGAGCCAATTACTCTAAAAGCACGTTGATTCTAAACGTGGAGGGGAAAACCGGAGGACCTGGAGAAAAATCCAAACAACCACGGGGAGATAGAACGTGCACACTCCAAATACACAGCAGGCGTCAGGGTCAAGATCGAACCCACGACCTCCTGTATACCTAGCGAGGTAGTTAACATCTCGCCACCGTGGTGGCCCTGGGTAGGGGATAGCCATATTTTTTTCACCGCATGCAACCTGCCGATCAACTGTGGTTTACCCATTTATGCTGCTTGATGGACAGAGGTGGGTAAATTTCGATTTAAAGCTTTCGTGACTGCAGGGATTCATCTTCTTGGTTCTTTCGGTAAAGTCACGTAACCCAGCTTAAATATATACGCTGCCAAGCTTGGTCGTGTTCATTCAGACGCTGTCTTTCCGACAGACCTGTTGTTCTTCACCTGAGGACGGCTGCTTGCGTTGTGGCCGAAACGTCGTGAGAATTGTATTTAATTATGTTTAATTTTTATTATTTTATTATTTCCCTTCTACGTGACTTTACCGAAAGAACAAAGAAGAGGTGGCTAATTTAAGAAACCGGCGCCATTGTTTCAACTGCCGCGCCGTGGGATTGAATCGAACCGGCGAACTGTAGATTGTAAGTCCCCTTACACCTTGGCAGCATCCCACTCTGGTACACTCACAAACAAAGCAAGACTACTCAAAAGAAGCCATTCGCCAAATATCCCAAGCAAGCAGGACTCGTGGAGAATTTTCTGGTTAAGTAATTGTCAATATATTATTATTATATCGAAGACAATAATACAACCGTGTAGGTTTTCGTGATTGTGTTGTACAGCTCTCCGATATGTTTGGGTTGTAGCGCATGTTGTTTCGCGTGATGCCCGACGTTTTAGTGCGGCACAATCTCAAAACACATCTGAGAGGTGTATGATGATGTTGACAATGACAACGATGATGTGTCCATCTGGGAGAACTTGAATCTTGGTTAAGACATTCTTCTCAGAATGCCTTTGGGGAAACCCGGTCGCAGGCGAAGGGAGCCGAGTGGAGACATTCAGCAGGGAAGGGCGAGCGTCACATTAGGGGGCGGCCTCGTTCTCGGCGCCCAGGAAAGGTCACGAACTCTGCCCACCCACCCCCGTCAGGGTGCCCGCCACCATCTTCACTCCTTCAGATCCTCCAGCGCCAGCCGCTCAACCTCGGCGCGCAGGTGCGAGCGGCGCTGCAGGTAACGGTAGACGCGCACGCTGCACAGGTACCCGCCGTACACGGTGAGCAACATCATGGAACCCGAGAAGACGCGGTAACCCACGTCCACCAACTTCTTGCCACCGCCCGTCATGATCTCTGCGCAACAAAAACAAATGCATCGCCACGTGTGAATGACAGCAGCACAACGCCCCCTGCACTGCCCACTTCGATCATTCGCCACTGACAGCGTTTCAGATGTTCGCCAGGCTGTCCCTGTAGCAGTCCACTGACTCTCTCACAAAACTCTGTGGCCGTCTGGTTCGTTATTCCTTCTGATACTAATGTAATGGGTTCCGGAGACACTTGTAGAGGTAACTTCTTTATTACAATGCAACACTCCAACAGTCCTGATACTCTGTTACAGCCTAGGTACACAGCCTAGGTACACAGCCTAGGTACACAGCCTAGATACACTACTCTGGCTATGCTCTGGGGTCCTCTGGCTACAATTACCCTAGGGGAGGCTACCTGACCCGACCGAGCCAAGGTGCGGGTCTGGACTCTGGCTTCCTCGGAACTCGCCCTTACAAGGACGTAGAGCCGGGAGTCCCAGAGTCCCACCACTGGCCCTCACAGCGTCCCGGCCCTTACAAGGACAAGCGGGACCAGGGGGTCCAGGGTCCTAAGCTGGCTGGCTGGCGGGTCTTGGGTCTTGAGCTGCAACTGGCCCCGATCGGCCAGGGAGCTGCCCTTTTATGCCTCGTCCCCAACGAGGGGTGGGGTTGTGTGCGCCCCCAGATATCCCACAGAGCACACACAGCCCCCCCGTTGGTGGAGCCAAGGGGCTTAACTGTCTGGGGTGCCTGGGATCCTAGCGCCTGGCGCCAAGGGCTTATCTGTCTAGGGTCCCAGAGCCCCCAGCAGCCCCTCCCCTCTTATGGCACTACATTAGGAAGCCACTGAAGCTCTCCACTTTTAACTAATCTAGTTTGAAAACTAATTTCTTTAGATAACTGCTCTTTGTGTTTAGTTGGTCGTCCTTGCCCCACACCTAAGATTAGCACAGTTGGCTAGATACGGTGTGAAAAAAATTCAACATACGTGCGTACATAGAAACTCGATGCGAACATGTAAAAACTGCCGATCAACTCCCATGCAATATGAATCTTACTAACCACTTAACCTCCACCCCGAACGCGAATCGTAAACTCTAAATATAATCCTAAACTTTACCCGTCACTTTATCCCTGAACCCATAAGCATATTCCTAAACCCCAAACTCTTATCCTCAATCCCTAACCCTTAATCTTAACATTAAATCCTGGATAAAAAAAAAAAAATCTGCGGGAACTACTTTTTGTTATGAAACGGTTATTCTGACGATTGCGGCTTGTTACACAACTGCAATATCTTGATTTGAAGCTTTCGTGACTGCAGGAATCCATACTCTTTGGTTCTTTCGGTAAACAATAAAATAAAAATATTAAAAAAAATTTTTATTTTATTGTTTCCTTTCTACGTGACTTTACCGAAAGAACCAAGAATATGAATCCCTGCAGTCACGAAAGCTTAAAATCAAAAAAATTATTTATCACGACGTTTCGATCGCAACACAAGCGGTCGTCCTCAGGCAGGAAAAAATATAATCCAGCAGTGGAACTGCCTAATATAATCTAGCGATCGAAACGTCGTGAGAAACATTTTTGTGTTTTATTTTATTTTTATAAATCTGCAATACGCAACCACTCCACCAGACGGCGCCGGTGCCAATTAAAACCCCCGCAAATTCAGAGTGCGTGACAAAATAAAAACACACGGGCCCCGGTGAAACAAACACACACACACACACGTGCGAACTATGAACAGTTAAGACAATTAACACCACTGATGACGGGCAATGTTTAAAATGTTATGACAATTACTTGCACCACGGCGTCAAATAACGTCAGTGTTAAACAACAACAAAAAAATGCCTACTCACTGTGACTTTAAGGAAACGTCTTGTGGTCGGCAAGGGAAACCGTGCACTGAAATGCAATAACAATACCAGCGTTATTGCTTTACATTATCCAAGTGATAAGCCACGTCGTTGAGATACCATTTGTGATTCTGAAAAAAACGATACATAGCAGCTCAATGGGCCTTCATACCTGGTACAATAAAACAAAGTTTAACCTCGAAGAACAGTGGATTTGAGCGTATCAGAAATCTTTGCGTCATTCACCAACCCTTGCCTTATGTGTCGAATCACACGGGCGGATCAATGTCTCGAGCTGAGCGTGTCGATGCTTCGTTTGCATTCCCTGCCAACCGATTCGGTTTACCCAGTATTCTTGTACAGAGGAATTGACTTTTCAGATCCATGCGACGTACAGCCGTTTCTCAATGCGGGCAACAAAAAAATGCCTGTCTTCTTAGTTCTTTCGGTAAAGTTACGTAGAAGGGAAATACTTAAATAATAAAAATAAAACATTATAAAATGCAATTCTCACGACGTTTCGGCCACAACGCAAGCAGCCGTCCTCAGATGAAGAACAGGTCTGTCGGAGACAGCGTCTGAATGAGACAGACCTGTTCTTCACCTGAGGACGGCTGCTTGCGTTGTGGCCGAAACATCGTGATAATTATTTTATTATGTTGTATTTTATTATTTTATTATTTCCCTTCTACGTGACTTTACCGAAAGAACCAAGAAGATGAATCCCTGCAGTGACGAAAGCTTTAAATCGAAAAATGTATGTTTGTGTTTCTCCCTTGTGGTGGGACTTTGTAGGAAGAACGTTGAGATTCATAAGCGGCACGGGGTGACCAATAAGATCTGAATTGGCCTGTGATAAGGTCGGACACTGATAAGGGGTTGACCGGCTATGAGTTAGTGGAGTGGAAAGCACGTGGCGTGAGACCGATGAGTGACAGCGCGTGGCGTTGTGGCGAAACCTTGGCGTTCGGATTAAACTGATGCAGCTAGCTAAGGATGCTAGCTTATATTTTTTTCGATTTAAAGCTTTCGTGACTGCAGGGATTCATCTTCTTGGTTCTTTCGGTAAAGTCACGTAGAAGGGAAGTAATAAAATAATAAAAATAAAGCATAATAAAATAATTCTCACGACGTTTCGGCCACAACGCAAGCAGCCGTCCTCAGCTTGGTGGTGTTTCGTTCTTCACCTGAGGACGGCTGCTTGCGTTGTGGCCGAAACGTCGTGAGAATTATTTTATTGTTTTATTTTTATTATTTTATTACTTCCCTTCTACGTGACTTTACCGGAAGAACCAAGAAGAATATATGTTGTGTATGTCGCTATTGTAAACTTTCAATCACATTTCTTATGATCAGTTGCATTGTTTTTACAGCATTATTTTAGTAATTTCTAGAAAGGGTTAGTTTAGCCCGATTTTTTTGATGTAGTATAGAGTTATACTTAAAATTGTAATCCATATTGTATTATGATTGTTATTGTGAGCTAACATCAAAATGGGATTTTTTTTGCACACATTTTTGTACGCAGCATAAACAACTGGTGCTTTTTCTGGAAGATTTTATTGTTTTTGTAGGGGATGTTTCAATTTGCGTATAGTAAAATTTAAAAATGTATCTTGTAATTGTATTGTTTGTTGCGGTTTCACCCAAATCAAGAGCCGAATGGCTCACAGGGTTATTCCAAATAAATAAAAACTGAAAACTGACGGGGGAGCGAGTGGTGAAGGCAACTTCTCTGGTACCCATACCTGTCAACCCTTATCATTGCCCATCTCACTACAGACCAAAACTAAATGTACATGATCGTAATACAACCCTGTCAACCCATTAGCAGTGCCTAGCTTACTACAGAACAATTCAGACCTTTTCTAGATTTGAAGCTTTCGTGACTGCAAGGATTCATATTATTAGGTTTTTTCGGTAAAGTCACGGAGGTAAAAAATTAAAATTATAAAAAATAAAATAAAAATAAAAATCACGTTTCGATTGCAACACAAGCAATCATCATCAGGTATAAATGAAATTGCTTTTCAATCATAAAATTGCTATTTCATTTATACCTGATTTTTATTGTATTTTACTTTTATTAATTTTTTACCTACGTGACTTTACCGAAAAAACCTAAGAATAATTCAGACCTTGTTGGTCACTGCCCTTATAAATATCACCCTACAGAGTCCCATCACAAGGTGAGAAACACAAATAGACAACAACATTTATGTTCTTTGTTTTTTTCGGTAAAGTCACGTAGATAAAACAATTTTAAAACCATTGTTTTACCTACGTATGAATCCTTGCCAGTCACGAAAGTTTCAAATCTAGAATTAACATTTGTTGCCCGCATTGAAACGGCAATTAAGCTGTAAGGACATGAAAACTCACGAATATGGGGTAAACCGTATGGGTTGACAGGTATGGGTACCTCTTTAAAAACATATAACAATCAGAATACATGAGAGTACTGTAGTCTTATTGGTTCGTTCGGTAAAGTCACGTAGAAGGGAAGTAATACATTTTTATGATTTTATTACTTCCCTTCTACGTGACTTTACCGAAAGAACCAAGAAGATGAATCCCTGCAGTCACGAAAGAAGCTTTAAATCGAAACATGAGAGTAGCTCCTGTCATCGTAAGAGCGCGAGGCATGAACGATCTGCAATAGTACGGGGCAGCCTCCTCCCGCCCTTGCCTAAACAGCCAAGCCGGGAGCCTAGCGTAGGCCCACGGCTAACTCTCCATGTCCGACAGGGGCAAAAGCTACGAGACCGACAAATTTTTTTATTGGCGCCAAATTAGTTATATATAACGATGCGTGGCGATAGAGTAAAGGGTGTGACGCTGGACAACGACAGTTAAACATACATTTCGTAAACAATTATAAAGAAATGGAAGTTAAATCCGCCTGAAGTTGACGCGCAACACACGCTTACCTTGCAGCGGTCACGAAGAGAGCTCGCGTCTGATTGGCTCCTCAGCGCGCGCCGCCTCCCCACGATGTAAGCCGCGCGCCCATTGGTCAATCGAGACAAAAGCCACGCCCACTTCGTGTGAGCGTACGTCATCGATGTGAGGATGTTGTGCAATTGATGAGTAGTCGTCCGAAACGTCATCTATTACAGACGTATTCATCTTCTTGGTTCTTTCGGTAAAGTCATCACGTAGAAGGGAAGTAATAAAATAATAAAAATAAAACTTAACAAAATAAAATAATTCTCACGACGTTTCGGCTACAATGCAAGCAGCCGTCTTCAGGTGAAGAATGAGACACTGCCAAGCTTGGAGCTTATATATAAGCTGGGTTGGAGGTGGAAGAAGAGCGCCTTAACAAAAGAATGTGCATATCAAGAGGAATTTAGCATATTCATGGGAAATGAGTAGGAGGTGGGCGGGGGGGTTTCAAAGTCATATTATGCCCATGCATTATGCAGGATCAGCAGCACCAAAGGGAGGGGCAGGGGGTAGCATTAACAAAGGGAGGGCATGTTAATAGCATGTAGAAGCAATGAAACATGTGAATGGGAGAGCGGTGGCAGGAGACCCGCAGCGGAGCAAATAATGCATTCCCTGTGGAGAACACAAGATACACAGTCAATGCCAGTGAGTGGACTGCGGTCTGTAAGTCACCGTAAACGTGAACATATCCATTTGAAGACACCGCACAGTATGATTGACAAATACTTAAGTTTTTTTTTAATTTGTTAATTGAGATGTGACGTGATGACGTCATCTAGATACAACAGCAATTTGGAGAGTTGCGCGATGACGTCATTTAGACACAGCCGGTTTGGCATGTGACGTGATGACGTCACCTATATACAGCATCAAGTTGGAGTGTTGCGCGATGACGTCATTTAGACACAACAGCCGGTTTGGCATGTGACGTGATGACGTCACCTATATACAGCATCAAGTTGGAGTGTTGCGCGATGACGTCATTTAGACACAGCCGGTTTGGCATGTGACGTGATGACGTCACCTATATACAGCATCAAGTTGGAGTGTTGCGCGATGACGTCATTTAGACACACAGCCGGTTTGGCATGTGACGTGATGACGTCATCTATATACAGCATCAAGTTGGAGTGTTGCGCGATGACGTCATTTAGACAACAGCCGGGTTGGCATGCGACGTGATGACGTCACCTGGACACGAAAGCGTGCGCGATGACGTCTTCACGCACGCCTTATAAATAGCGTGATTGTCGTGATGACGTCATCACAAAACAATAACTTTTATATGGCATTCGTGATGACGTCATCAAAAGAACCACGCTCTTTACATGGCGTGCGTGATGACGTCATCAGAGTACCCACGCTCCTTACATGGCGTGCGTGATGACGTCATCAGAGTACCCACGCTCCTTACATGGCGTGCGTGATGACGTCATCAGAGTACCCACGCTCCTTACATGGCGTGCGTGATGACGTCATCACAGTATCCACGCTCCTTACATGGCGTGCGTGATGACGTACAAAGAAGGGCCACTCGCCTTACATAACGTGCGTGATGACGTCATCCGAGTACCCACGCTCCTTACATGGCGTGCGTGATGACGTCATCAGAGTACCCACTCGCCTTACATGGCGTGCGTGATGACGTCATCCGAGTACCCACGCTCCTTACATGGCGTGCGTGATGACGTACAAAGAAGGGCCACTCGCCTTACATAACGTGCGTGATGACGTCATCACAGTACCCACGCTCCTTATATGGCGTGCGTGATGACGTCACCCGTCAAGCCCCTCCCCCCTCCCTCCTCCCTACCACCACCACCAACAACAACTCCGGCACCACGCGAGCTGCGGCCATCCGCGTTCACCGCCACGGTGAAGATGGCAGCTGTCGTCCCGTGATGTCGGAGCGACACTGAAGAAGGGGGGGCCGGTAAGCAGAGAGCATCCACACTGATTTGTACTTTGCAGTCGCTCTCACCACCACCATCATCATCATCATCATCGCTGGCATCGTCGTCAGCCGCAAGCTCCATCCACTGCTGGGTTGGAAGGGCTCTCACACAAAGACAAAGATCCCCCGTGTAGCCTTAATAGACTGTAGGGGCAAGTGCTGTTAGCGAGCACCTATGAAGGCCGGAACGGCACACGAGGGGGTGGGTGGTCAGCACCACGCCCGACCGCCTTTGTCTCCCTAGTGGTAAGGTTTACACACCGCACCAGGTACGCATTTAAGGCTGGGTCGACCTAGGGGAGGCCCAGGACCGGTTCAGATAATCGTCACTGGTGTTAGCCGTGAGCGGGAATCGAACCCGGGTCGCCAGATTCATAGCGCAGCGCGCTAACCGCTACACCACCGCTCCCCACACACACACATACACACACATACATACACACACATACACACATATACGCACACACATACACACACACGCGACCACGGGAAGAGAGAGAGAGACACGCAAACTCCAAATACACAGCAGCAGGCGTCAGGGTCGGGATCGAACCCACGACCTCCTGCACACCAGGCGAGGTAGTTAACATCTCCTAGCCACGGTGGTTGTCACACTGAACCCCCCCCCCCCCCCCGCTTCTCTCCCTCCCCCCCAGAGCGTGGGAGCCATGCACCGGGACAGCCCCCCAGCGCGCTGCATCAAGCCACCGAGCACCATGGACAAGTACGAGAAGCTGGCGAAGATCGGCGAGGGCTCCTACGGGGTCGTGTTCAAGTGCCGCGCGCGCGACACGGGCCACGTCGTCGCCATCAAGAAGTTCGTCGAGTCCGAGGAGGACCCGCTCATCAAGAAGATCGCACTGCGCGAGATTCGCATGCTCAAGGTGGGAGGTGCAGGTTGAGGAGACGGGAGGAGACACTCACTCGCTCGGTCCTGGAGACCGCGTTTCAGGATCGGAGTCTCGGTTGGGACTCGGCACCAGGAGACCGGGTCTCAGGATCGGAGTCTCGGTTGGGACTCGGCACCAGCAGACCGGGTCTCAGGGTCGGAGTCTCCGTTGAGACTCGGCTCCAGGAGACCGGGTCTCAGGGTCGGAGTTTTGTTTGAGACTCGGCTCCAGGAGACCGGGTCTCAGAATCGGAGTCTTGGTTGAGACTCGGCTCCAGGAGACCGGGTCTCAGGGTCAGAGTCCCGGTTGAGACTCGGCTCCAGGAGACCGGGTCTCAGGGTCAGAGTCTCAGTTGAGACTCGGCTCCAGGAGACCGGGTCTCAGGGTCAGAGTCCCGGTTGAGACTCGGCTGCAGGAGACCGGGTCTCAGGGTCAGAGTCTCAGTTGAGACTCGGCTCCAGGAGACCGGGTCTCAGGGTCAGAGTCCCGGTTGAGACTCGGCTCCAGGAGACCGGGTCTCAGGATTGAGTCTCAGCTCCATGATGCAAGCGAACGGTCAGAGCGCTGCACCTTCATTGTTGTGTTTTACAAAGTTGGCATTGTCTCAATTTAGTGTTTTCCCACGTGAACCTGTGGTGGGAATTGAGCTACCGCATCTGCGCTCGATGGCGAGCGATGCCAACCTCGCCACGCATCCCCGCAGCTCTGACCTTCCCTTGCACGCAGCATGGACGCTCGTCTGAAAATGCGGACCATCTGCAGCCTCGTGTTCTCTCGGCAACCCTCGATATGAGAATTGATTTTCTTTTTGGGCAGTGGAGGAGAGGTGGCAGGCCCGTGTTTGAAGAGACACAGAGAGGGCCTGGTGCGGGACTTGACAAACACTCTCAAACAGGGCTGCCTGTCCATTACACCGGAGTGTTTATTGACCCCCCCCCCCCCACCCGGGCAATGACAAACACCCGAGAGAATGATCATGGAAACGAATCATCTTTTGTGAAGCTTATTTGTCATCAAATTCAATTTTGGTGCTCTGTGTGTCCGGGTAGCTCTTGCGAGACCACTCCATCAATTTCACTGAATGAGGTGTCATTTTGAGCCTCGTGATATCTCAGTCATATTGACACAACAGTCGACCTTTGACCACAGGCTCATTGGCTGTATGGCTGCTTATCCGATTTACAATTAGTATGGTGTGATACGGGTCCTGTTTCAATATCATACAATGGAGAGGCGTGTGCAGAGGGTGGTGGGGGGGGTTAGAGAGCCAATCTCATTGGCTGCTGACTGCAGTAGTTGGAGACACTCTAAGACACCCAACCCCAGGGCTTGAACCCGCAGGGTCTCTGAGTCACGCAGTCACGGAGCCTGGCGGTGGTGATGGTGACGGCTTTGCACGCCGGTAATCCAGCGCACCGTGGAGGCATTGGGTTGTCGGATCGCACACCAGAGGTCGCAACCGGGTACCCGATACCCGTACCCTACCCGATACCCGGCTACCCGTACCCGTACCCGGCCGGGTACGGGTACGGGTAGCCGTTTGCGACCCTGGTGCGGCCGGGTACGGGTAGGCCGTGAGTCACTGGTGAGTAACCGTTTGTCACTCATTTCGGGTAGGGTACGGATAGGGAACGGGTACCCGTACCCGTACCCGGCCGGGTACGGGTAAGGAATCAAAACCCATTTGCGACCTCTGTCGCACACGTATGTTGCAAAGAAACTTTCTACCCTTAACCCGGCTGCCCAGGAGAATGCGGTACAGCAAAATTGTGGACTCCGCCTGTCCCGTCTGTATGGGATAGAGTGTTTCCCCCTTGCACGCGCTGGTTTTCCCCGGGTGCTCCGGTTTCTCCCCACGCGCTAACGCTCATTCACCCTTTGCCGCTCCGAGACGTCTGCAAGTTGCAGGGCGGGTGGCAGAGGTCGCAAACGGGTTTTGATTCCTTACCCGTATCTGGCCACACCAGGGTCGCAAACGAGTACCCGTACCCGGCCAAGTACGGGTATCGGGTACCCGATTGCGACCTCTGGGATGAAGCCATGTTGCAGGCGCGGTTGGGTTGATTCTAGGAACTTGAATTGTGAGAAGAGACAAGACTTTGGGAAATGAGTGACAAACAGTTACTCACCAGTGACTCACGGCCTACCCGTACCCGTACCCGGCCGCACCAGGGTCGCAAATGGCTACCCGTACTCGGCTGGGTACGGGTAGCCGGGTATCGGGTAGGGTACGGGTATCGGGTACCCGGTTGCGACCTCTGGCCGAGAGTATGGAAGCGTGATTACGATGAATGTGTGACGTTGACCGCGAGGTTTGCGTGAATGCCGCGGAACGGGGGGGGCGCGAGTCGTTCCCACAACGCAGCAAGGAACCTCCTCCCCTCCCCTCGCCCCCCCCCTCTTCATTTGTTTGGAGTCTCTCGTCTGCAACTGGAGACACGGGACGACGCCGTCTCATCCTGTGCGTGGGCTCCGTGCCCCGAGCGCAAACAGGTTGAGCGTGGGGTTGTGTTGTGTTGGGGTTTTTTTGTTCTTGTTATTTAAGACCGCGCACAGCAGACACCGCAGCGCGGTGAGCGGAGGGGGGCCACCTGGCAACGGCTGTTGATGGAATCGGATTAGCCAGCCCATGTGTGAATGTGTTCGTGTGCTGTGACAGGCGTTGCCTGCATTGAGCTCCACAAATGCACGCACAAGGGGGTCACCAGACACTGACAGACAGACAGACACTGACAGAGAGACACTGACAGACAGACACAGACAGACACAGACATACAGACACTGACAGAGAGACACTGACAGACAGACACAGACAGACACAGACAGACAGACACAGACAGACAGACACTGACAGACAGACACTGACAGACAGACACTGACAGAGAGACACTGACAGACAGACACAGACAGACACAGACAGACACAGACAGACAGACACAGACAGACAGACACTGACAGACAGACACTGACAGAGTCTCTAGACACTGACAGACAGACACTGACAAACAGACACTGACAGACCGACACTGACAGACAGACACTGACAGACAGAGACAGACACAGACAGACAGACACAGACAGACAGACACTGACAGACAGACACTGACAGACACAGACAGACAGACACAGACAGACACTGGCAGAGAGACACTGGCAGACACTGACAGACAGACACTGACAGACACTGACAGACAGACACTGACAGACACTGACAGACACTGACAGACAGACACTGACAGACACTGACAGACAGACACTGACAGACAGACACTGACAGACACTGACAGACAGACACTGACAGACACTGACAGACAGACACAGACAGACACTGACAGACAGACACTGACAGACAGACACAGACAGACACTGACAGACAGACACAGACAGACACTGACAGACAGACACAGACAGACACAGACAGACAGACACAGACAGACAGACACAGACAGACACTGACAGACAGACACAGACAGAGAGAGCTGTCCCTGGCGGGGTCTCCAGACAACGATGCCGTGCGTTTGAACGTTGCTTTGCACCCTCTCGCCTCCAGCAACTCAAGCATCCAAACCTGGTGAATCTCCTTGAGGTCTTCCGCAAGAAGAGAAGGCTCCACCTCGTGTTCGAGTACTGCGACCACACGGTCCTCAACGAGCTGGACAAACACCCCCACGGGTAAACACACCAAAGGCAAAGATCCCCCGTGTAGCCTGCAAGAGGCTGTTGGGGCAAGTGCTGTTAGCGAGTAGCACCTATAAAGGCCGGCACGGCACACGAGGGGGTGGGTGGCCAGCACCACGCATGAACACACACACACACATATACAAAAGACAAAGATCCCCCGTGTAGCCTGCAAGAGGCTGTTGGGGCAAGTGCTGTTAGCGAGTAGCAATGAAGACCGGCACGGCACACGAGGGGGTGGGTGGCTAGCACCACTCATCTACACACACACATATACAAAAGACAAAGATCCCCCGTGTAGCCTGCAAGAGGCTGTTGGGGCAAGTGCTGTTAGCGAGTAGCACCTATGAAGGCCGGCACGGCACACGAGGGGGTGGGTGGCCAACACCACGCCGGGCCGCCTTTGTCTCCCCAGTGACGATGTTTACACACTGCACCAGGTGCTCATTTGAGGTTGAGTCAACCTAGGGGAGGTCCAGGATCGGTTTAGGTAATCGTCGCCGGTGTTGGCCGTGGGCGGGAATCGAACTCGGGTCGCCGGGTTCGTAGCGCAGCATGCCAAGCAGAGGTCGCAACCGGGTACCCGATACCCGTACCCTACCCAATACCCGGCTACCCGTACCCAGCCAGATACGGGTACGGGTAGCCGTTTGCGACCCTGGTGCGGCCGGGTACGGGTAAGGAATCAAAACCCGTTTGCGACCTCTGACGCCAAGTGCCGTGCCACCGCTCCCCGACACGCATACGCACACACGCACGAAGACAAAGATCCCCCGTATAGTCTTAACAGACATTTGGGGCAAGTGCTGTTAGAGAGCACCTATGAAGGTGTGTGTGTGTATGTTGAACTTCTTTTGCACGGTACGTAGCCAACTGTGCGAACGGAAGGTGCGCGGGAAGGATAACAAACCAAACACAAAAAGCAGTTCTGAAGGAATGAGTTCGTCAGCCGAGATGATGGTTTAAAAGTGCCATATAGCTCCAGTGACTTCCTAATATCGGACGGCAGAGCCTTCCAGACGGCCACAGAAGCCACATCTGAAAGCGCCGCGCGATGCAGCAGTGACCGTCTTTGTTCGATGGCCACCCAAAAGCCGCCGCTGCTACTGCTGCTGCCGCTGCTGCTGCTGCTGCCGCTGCTGCTGCTGCCACTGCTGCTGCTACTGCTGCTGCTGCTGCCACTGCTGCTGCTGCTACTGCTGCTGCTGCCGCTGCTGCCGCTGCTGCTGCTGCCGCTGCCGCTGCTGCTGCCTCTGCCGCTGCTGCCGCTGCTACCGCTGCTACTGCTGCTGCTGCCGCTGCTGCCGCTGCTGCTACTGCTGCTACTGCTGCTGCTGCTACTGCTGCTGCTGCCGCTGCTGCTACTGCTGCTACTGCTGCTGCTGCTACTGCTGCTGCTGCCGCTGCTGCTACTGCTGCTACTGCTGCTGCTGCTACTGCTGCTACTGCTGCTGCTGCTACTGCTGCTGCTGCCGCTGCTGCTACTGCTGCTGCTGCTGCTGCTGCCGCTGCTGCTGCCTCTGCCGCTGCTGCTGCTGCCGCTGCTGCCACCGCTGCCGCTGCTGCTGCTGCCGCTGCCGCTGCTGCTGCTGCCGCTGCTGCTGCTTCCGCTGCTGCCGCTGCCGCTGCTGCTGCTGCGATGACCGCACTCTTGTGGCCAGCGCTGCTCTAACAGACCCCCATGTCCTTGTCTCCCTGCAGGGTCCCCGAGCCCCAAGTGAAGAACATCTTGTTCCAGACTCTGCAGGCGGTCGGCTTCTGTCACCAGCACAACGTACGTCTCTCCGGCACACAGTGAGAGCTTTCAGCAGCATCAGCATCATCAGCAGCAGCAGTAGCAGGGGACGTCGGCTATTGTAGCGGCATCGGCAGCAGGTTTCATCAGCAGCAATAGCAGCATCTTCAGCAGCATCGGCAGCAGTTGCATCTTCATCATCAGCAGCATTTGCATAATCGGGCATAAGAAGCTGTATCTGCAGCAGCAGTAGTAGTAGCATCAGCGGTAGAGACAAAATAATTCTTAACAGCAGCTGTAGCATCATCAGCAGTCGCAGCAACATCCGTATCTTCTTCATCTGCAGTCCGCATTATCAGCATCCTTATCAGCAGTAAAACTACTTTTAAAAATACTTTTATTTTACCTAGAAGTGGCCTGGCAATCACAAATGATAGCCCAACGAAGTGGCTTATCGTTACGTGGAAACTTACCGCAGCCGAATACTCTAAACGCATGTTGAGTCTAAATGTGGAGGGAGAAACCGGAGGACTCCAATACACAGCAGACGTCAGGGTCGGGATCGAACCCACAACCTCCTGCACACCAAGCGAGGTCGTTAACATCTCCTAGCCACCGTGACGCCCCAATCAACAATGGCTTCACCATTATTATGATCATCATCATCAGCAGCAGCATCATCAGCAGCAGCATCATCAGCAGTATCAGCAGCATTAGCATCACATGATCATCATGAACCAGCCTCTGAAGTATAGGTAGTTGATCTCTTATCCAGGTCAGCAATGACTACAAAAAAAACTAACTACGAGATACAATTTCGGTTTCGCATAATTTGGCTAAATTCCAGCTCTTGACAATCACGGTGGCAGGGTGGCGCAGTGGTCACGCTCGTGCCTCGCAGCACGACGGCCTCGGGTTCGATTCCTAACTGGGGGGCGCCCTTCCGCGTGTAATTAGTCCATTCTCACCCCTGTTCTCCGGCTTAAAACGGCCGATGAAACGTAAAAAGCGACTTTGGGACTGCACGTCGCAGCGACGTCGCCGCCTGCTGCGAGAACTTTCCAGGAGCGAGCGGCCGCCGCTTGCCAGTGAAGGCAGCAACGGCGGTGATCTGCGGTGACGGTGACGGCGTGGTGGAGCGGCGGGCGTGGGTAGCTGTCGCGCCGTGTTGGCGCGCCGTGTTGCCGTGTTGGCACGCCGTGTTGCCGTGTTGGCGCGCCGTGTTGCCGTGTTGGCACGCCGTGTTGCCGTGTTGCCACGCCGTGTTGCCGTGTTGCCACGCCGTGTTGCCGTGTTGCCACGCCGTGTTGTCGTGTTGCCACGCCGTGTTGCCGTGTTGCCACGCCGTGTTGCCGTGTTGCCACGCCGTGTTGCCGTGTTGCCACGCCGTGTTGCCGTGTTGCCACGCCGTGTTGCCGTGTTGCCACGCCGTGTTGCCGTGTTGGCACGCCGTGTTGCCGTGTTGCCACGCCGTGTTGCCGTGTTGCCACGCCGTGTTGCCGTGTTGCCACGCCGTGTTGCCGTGTTGCCACGCCGTGTTGCCGTGTTGCCACGCCGTGTTGACGTGTTGCCACGCCGTGTTGCCGTGTTGGCACGCCGTGTTGCCGTGTTGCCACGCCGTGTTGCCGTGTTGCCACGCCGTGTTGCCGTGTTGCCACGCCGTGTTGCCGTGTTGCCACGCCGTGTTGCCGTGTTGCCACGCCGTGTTGACGTGTTGCCACGCCGTGTTGACATGTTGCCGTGTTGCCACGCCGTGTTGCCGTGTTGCCACGCCGTGTTGACGTGTTGCCACGCCGTGTTGACATGTTGCCGTGTTGCCGTGTTGCCACGCCGTGTTGACGTGTTGCCACGCCGTGTTGCCGTGTTGCCGTGTTGCCATGTTGCCACGCCGTGTTGACGTTCGGTGCGTATTTGCCGTGGCAGTGCATCCACCGTGACGTGAAGCCAGAGAACATCCTGGTGACCAAGCAAGGAATCATCAAACTCTGTGACTTTGGCTTTGCCCGCATGCTAAGTGAGTTTCCTGCACGCATGCACACACACGCACGCACGCGCACGCACGCACACACGCACGCACACACACACACACTCACCCTGTGGGGAGCGGTGGTGCAGCGGTTAGCGCACTGCACGACAAACCCGGCGACCCGAGTTCGATTCGCGCTCACGGCCAACACCAGTGACGATTATTTGAACCGGTCCTGGGCCTCCGCTAGGTCGACTCGACCTCAAATGATGAGTACCTGGTGCGATGTGTAAAACATCGCCGCAACCCAACCCCATCGTGTGCCGTGCCAACATTCATCAAACAAAGACGGTGGTCACCGCATCAGCGCTTTCAGATGCGCTTCTGCGGCCGTCTGGAACGCCTCTTCCTTCCGACATTAGGAAGCCACTTGGAGCTAGTTGGCAATTTTAAATCATCATCTAGATCGGAAACTCATTTCCGTAGAAGAACCGCTTCATGTATTTCGTCTGCTGTCCTTTCCCTGCACTTCTGATCAGCACGTACGACGCGAAAGAAGTTCAACATGCGCACGGTACATAGGCGCTACGCGCTAATGGCACTCGCCCCACAAGCTAATGCTATATGCTTGTTGTAGCGAGACCGGGTGACGAGTACACGGACTACGTGGCGACGCGCTGGTACCGTGCCCCCGAGCTGCTGGTGGGCGACACGCAGTACGGACCGGCGGTCGACGTGTGGGCGCTGGGCTGCGTCTTCGCCGAGCTCCTGGCCGGGGAGCCTCTGTGGCCGGGCCGATCGGACGTCGATCAGCTGCACCTCATCCGCACGACGCAGGGTCGGACACGCACGCTCGCTAACTAGCTCGCACGCTAGCACACGCGCTCGCACACTGACACGCTCGCTAGCACCCTCGCTAGCTCGCTCGCTAGCTCGCACGCTAGCACACGCGCTCGCACACTGACACGCTCGCTAGCACCCTCGCTAGCTCGCTCGCTAGCTCGCACGCTAGCACACGCGCTCGCACACTGACACGCTCGCTAGCACCCTCGCTAGCTCGCTCGCTAGCACACGCGCTCGCACACTGACACGCTCGCGAGCACGCTCGCTCGCTCGCTCACACTGTAGCACATGCGCTCGCACACTGCCACGCTCGCTAGCACGCTCGCTCGCTCGCTCACACGGTAGCACATGCGCTCGCACACTGACACGCTCGCGAGCACGCTCGCTCGCTCACACGGTAGCACATGCGCTCGCACACTGCCATGCTCGCTAGCACGCTCGCTCGCTCGCTCACACGGTAGCACATGCGCTCGCACACTGACACGCTCGCGAGCACGCTCGCTCGCTCGCTCACACGGTAGCACATGCGCTCGCACACTGACACGCTCGCTAGCACGCTCGCTAGCTCGCACGCGAGCACACTGCCACGCTCGCTAGCACGCACGCCAGCACGCTAGCACACGCGCTCACACACTGCCACGCTCGCTAGCACGCACGCTAGCACGCTAGCACATGCGCTCACACACTGCCACGCTCGCTAGCACGCACGCTAGCACGCTAGCACACGTGCTCTCACGCTGCCGCGCTCGCTAGCACGCACGCTAGCACACGCGCTCACACACTGCCACGCTCGCTAGCACGCACGCTAGCACGCTAGCACACGCGCTCACACACTGCCACGCTCGCTAGCACGCACGCTAGCACACGCGCTCACACACTGCCACGCTCGCTAGCACGCACGCTAGCACGCTAGCACACGCGCTCACACACTGCCACGCTCGCTAGCACGCACGCTAGCACGCTAGCACACGCGCTCACACACTGCCACGCTCGCTAGCACGCACGCTAGCTCGCTAGCACACGCGCTCACACACTGCCACGCTCGCTAGCACGCACGCTAGCACGCTCGCTAGCTCGCACGCGAGCACGCTAGCACACGAGCACACGCGCTCGCACACTGCCACGCTCGCTAGCACCCTCGCTAGCTCACACGCGAGCACGCTAGCACACGAGCACACGCGCTCGCACACTGCCACGCTCGCTAGCACACGCGCTCGCACACTGCCACGCTCGCTAGCACGCTCACACACTCGCGCGTACATTTTTCATCGTTGCTACGCGGATACTGCACGGCCGTCGTTGGATTCTTGAGATGCTGACAAATTCTCCATTCGCTCGTTTTCATTATTATTTAATATTACATATTTATTTTTTACCGATAGCTCGTTTTAATCTGGACCGCGAAATTTGCGGAGGTCGCGGGTCATTGTCCCCCCCCCCCCCGCCCTTCGCCTGGGAGCTTTAGTGCAGTCGTCGGTTGAGAATGACGGACTGAGTGAATGACCGAGTGATCAAACGTTGTCCTTCAGGAGACCTCATTCCACGACACCAGCAGATCTTCAGCTCGAACCAGTTCTTCAGCGGGCTGAGCATCCCTGAGCCTGAGACACGGGTGGGTGGACACAGAGACACCTCGAGATGTTAACTACCTCTCCTCGTATACAGGAGGTTGTGGGTTCGATCCAGACGCTGACCCCTGTTCTATATTTGGAGTTTGCGTGTCTCTCTCATCATCATCAAGGTGGCTCGGAGATGTTAACTACCTCGCCTGGTGTACAGGAGGTCGTGGGTTCGATCCCGACCCAGACCGCTGTTGTATATTTGGAGTTTCCGTGTCTCTCTCTCATCATGGTGGCTACGAAATGGTAACTACCTCGCCTGGTGTACAGGAGGCCGTGGCTTCGATCCCGACCCCTGCTTTCTATTTGGAGTCTCTCTCTCTCCCCGTGGTCGCGTGGATTCTTCTCCGTGTCCTCCAGTTTTTTCCATCCACATCTAGAATCACCGTCACGCGTTGAGAGCATTCGGCTGCTGTACATGTCCACACGACGATAAGCCACTTTCGTTGTGCTGATATCTTTTGTGATAGCCAAGTCGCTTCTGAAGAAGAGCCACACGGCTCAGTGGGGCCCTACCGAGTAAGGCTCCCAGAATTAAGATCGGATGAGACCAGACCCATTGTGGGCGATGTGGTCATAGGCGGTAGACGGTTAGGTCTGTTGTAGTGTCACAAATAACGAATAGTTTGTAGTTAAAGTTCAGCGCTGGCTTGTTTCTAAAAAGTGACATTACACTTCAGAATGAGAATATTGTATTTATCGTGGAGGAATCTGATGTTTCACGGATGTCCAGTTGGGGCACGGTAAGAATGTTAACAACAACAAACAGTACAAAAACACAATGAGAGTGAAAAGTACAATAAAGGTAAACAAATCACCAAAACACATATAAGTAAAACTAAACAATCCCCATCCTACCAGTCCACTGAGGTATTCACTTATTGTTCAAAAGCGACCTGGCCACAAATGATAGCTCAACAAAGTGGCCCATCATTTGGACATTTATCGCAGCCAAAATAATCTAAATAGTCTAAACGCATGTTTCTAAATGTGGAGGGAAAAATTTGAGGACCCGGAGAAAAAATTCACGCGAACCCCCGACCTCCTGTATACCAGGCGAGGTAGTTAACATCTCCTAGCCACCGTAATGATGATGAGAGAGAGACACGCAAACTCCAAATATACAGCAGCAGGCGTCAGGGTCAGGATCAAACCCCGACCTCCTGCACACCAGGCGAGGTAGTGAACACCTAACGCAAGCACGGCAGCAGCTGTCGCGTTCCACCTCTCACGCTTTCTCCGTCCTGCCCCTCCGGCGCGTCTCGCGCTGCCAGGAGCCGCTGGATTCGCGCTTTCCTTGCGCGTCGCCCGCGGCGCTCTCCTTCATGCGCGGCTGCCTGGAGATGGACCCGGCCGACCGTGCGGCCTGCGACGGCCTCCTGGGCCACCCCTACCTGGCGGAGCGGGACGGCGAGCGGCGGCGCTCCGAGCGGCACGGCCGCCTGCCGCTGGTCGCGCACGGCGGCAAGAAGACGCATGGCGGCGGCGGCGGGGCCGCACGTCACAACGGCAACAACGCCGGCGGCAACGGCAACAAGTACGACAACCACCGGCTGCCGGACATCAACGCGCCGAACGCGGCGCACGCGGCCCACGCGGCGTCCTCGTCACCGCAGCCGCCCGCGCCGCCCACGCCGCCCACACCGCCGCTCTGCCTCACCCCGTTCATGCGGGCGCCCAAGTCGTAGAGGAAGTGGCCCACCGTCATCACCACCGTCGCCACCACCGCGACCCACCGCCGCCGCCACCGTCACCACCACCGCCGCTGTCACCACCATCGCCACCACCACCGTCACCGCCACCACCGTCACCGCCACCACCACCGTCGCCACCACCGCCGTCACCACCACCGTCGCCACCACCCCGCCGCCACCACCACCACCACCGCCACCCACCACCCACCAGGGCCACCGCTCGTCCCTGGTCCACTGAGGTCTCGCTCGCCCCGTCCGACGGAATGCCCCCGACTCGACCCGCCGCCTCTACCGGAGATGAACACCCCCCCTCCCCGCTCGCAACCGCTTGCAACCCCCACCCGCTCGGCTTGCGGGATCCGATGAGAAGCGGGCGCATTGCGGCTGACGCGTGGCGGTTATCTCCGTGACAACGTCACGAGGCCGCGCTCGCGTCCCGCGTCTTCGGCGTTGGCGTCTCCGCCCTGCTCCGACGAGCGCTTGGACCGCAGCACTCGACTCCTGTTTACAGCCCCCGAGCCAGCGGTGGGAAATTCCACGTTCTTGTGGCAGGACGAGGCGACCCACGCAAACCGAACCACTGCTGACTTCCCACTACGGTGGATGCAGGGTCTTTTTTTTTTTTTTTTCTTTTTTTCTTCTCCCCGCGCAAAAGCACGGTGGCCACGACGCCACCGCGCGACGTCAGCTGCCTGCCGATGGGCGCGCAAACGGCAACGCCAACGGCGGTGTCCCACATCCGGCCGCGGAGCCCAGTGTGGGTGCAATTTGAAGGCGCCTCGTAAAGTCCACGATTTACACCATTGGTACCTCATTTGCCAGTAAAAAATATTATTGGTTTTTTACCCTTTTATCTGACACCTTTGTTGTAAAAAAGGTGTCAGTTTTGTTGCCAGATAAAAGGGTAAAAACCCAATTATCATATTTTTTTACTGGCAAATGAGGTACCAATGGTGTAAATGCTTACCCCGAGCTCTCATACTCTGATGGTGCATTGTCTTTGAGTTGTGCGCCTTTTGGCGTCATCTGGTCCAACACCATGTGAGACTAGGCTCTAAGGAAAGCTGTCTCGGGTGTGGACCAATCAACTTCAAGGACAGTGCATACATTATCAGAGTTGTGTTTTTTGTTTGCATTATGACTGCAGGTATTGTGGTCTATGCAAACATGACTAATTGTGGGTAGATGTTGGTTGGCTGCATGACAAACCGAACCTGGTGTGGAGCGAGAGGGGCTTGCCCGTACGGCGTTCCCTTGTTAGTCATGCACTTGGCTGTCCGCGATGTTGGCTCTCTGCGAATCGTATCTGGAAATCTACGCGACGACTGCATCGAGATAGAGAAAGTGATGAGAGAGAAAGTGATGAGAGATGGAGTGATGAGAGAGAAAGTGATGAGAGAGAAAGTGATGAGAGATGGAGTGACGAGAGAGAAAGTGACGAGAGAGAAAGTGATGCGAGATGGAGTGACGACAGATAAAGTGATGAGAAAGCAAGATGGAGAGAGCTTCTCGAACCTTTGGAAGAATGTTGAGCACACGTCTGCACGTGCTATGTCCGTAGGGCCAATGTCGCTGTCCCGTGAAATGTTTCCGTTCACGAGCGTATCCCTCGTGACGAATAACGTGGGAGAATCCTGCCCACTCCCGACAAAGCCCACAACTTGACGGGTGTTGAGCAGAGGTCGCAACCGGGTACCCGATACCCGTACCCTACCCGATACCCGGCTACCCGTACCCGGCCGGGTACGGGTACCCGTTTGTGACCCTGGTGCGGCCCGGGTACGGGTACGGGTAGGCCGTGAGTCACCGGTGAGTAACCGTTTGTCACTCATTTCCCAACGTCTTGTCTCTTCTCACAATTCAAGTTCCTAGAATCAACCCACCCGCGCCTGCAACATGGCTTCATCCCAGATGTCGCAATCAGGTACCCGGCCGTACCCGTACCCTACCCGATACCCGGCCGGGTACGGGTAGGGTACGGGTAGCCGTTTGCGACCCTGGTGCGGCCGGGTACGGGTAAGGAATCAAAACCCGTTTGCGACCTCTGGTGTTGAGTCGTAGGCTCTGTCCACTGCACCGCCTGTGATTGGATGGTTTAAATGAAGTCGCATACATTGCTTATTATTATTTAAATGAAGGTCTCTTGTTTATGCTGAACTTGTTTCGCTGCGTACGTAGCCAACAGTTCTAATCGGATGTGCGGGTAGTGTGTTAGTGTGAAAGGTCTCTATTTGGACGTGTGTGTGTTTGCACTCCACATTCCTCCCAGCACCAAAAGAGCAATGGGGGTGGCTCTTTAAGCCAGCGGTGGAAATTCCACATTCCCATGGCGTGCGTCAGCCTCGGTATCCGTAGAGCGCAAACAGCTGTCGACTTCCGCAGAGCGGTACTCGTTTTATCGACCCCCAAAGGGGATGATTGTCTCACCTCACCCCCCCCCCGACCTCATCACTCTCACGCAACCACTCATCCCACCACTCCTCATTCCACAAAGACGCTCACCTCATCAGTCTCACGCAACCACTCATCCCACCACTCATTCCACAAAGACGCTCACCTCATGACTCTCACGCAACCACTCATCCCACCACTCCTCCCACAAAGACGCTCACCTCAGTCTCACGCAACCACCCATCCCACCACTCCTCCCACAAAGACGCTCACCTCATCACTCGCGCAACCACTCATCCCACCACTCCTCATTCCACAAAGATGCTCACCTCATCACACTCACGCAACCACTCATCCCACCACTCCTCCCACAAAGACGCTCACCTCATCACTCTCACGCAACCACTCATCCCACCACTCCTCCCACAAAGACGCTCACCTCATCACTCTCACGCAACCACTCATCCCACCACTCCTCCCTCAAAGACGCTCACCTCATCAGTCTCACGCAACCACTCATCCCACCACTCCTCCCAAAGACGCTCACCTCACTCTCACGCAACCCCTCATCCCACCACTCCTCCCACAAACACGCTCACCTCATCACTCTCACGCAACCACTCATCCCACCACTCCTAATTCCACAAAGACGCTCACCTCATCAGTCTCACGCAACCACTCATCCCACCGCTCCTCCCACAAAGACGCTCACCTCATCAGTCTCACGCAACCACTCATCCCACCACTCCTCCCACAAAGACGCTCACCTCATCACTCTCACGCAACCACTCATCCCACCACTCCTCATTCCACAAAGACGCTCACCTCATCAGTCTCACGCAACCACTCATCCCACCACTCCTCATTCCACAAAGACGCTCACCTCATCAGTCTCACGCAACCACTCATCCCACCACTCCTCCCAAAGACGCTCACCTCACTCTCACGCAACCACTCATCCCACCACTCCTCCCACAAACATGCTCACCTCATCACTCTCACGCAACCACTCATCCCACCACTCCTCATTCCACAAAGACGCTCACCTCATCACTCTCACGCAACCACTCATCCCACCACTCCTCATTCCACAAAGACGCTCACCTCATCAGTCTCACGCAACCACTCATCCCACCACTCCTCTCACAAAGACGCTCACCTCATCACTCTCACGCAACCACTCATCCCACCACTCCTCATTCCACAGACGCTCACTTCATCAGTCTCACTCAACCACTCATCCCACCACTCCTCCCACAAAGACGCTCACCTCATCAGTCTCACGCAACCACTCATCCCACCACTCCTCCCACAAAGACGCTCACCTCATCAATCTCACGCAACCACTCATCCCACCACTCCTCCCACAAAGACGCTCACCTCATCAGTCTCACGCAACCACTCATCCCACCACTCCTCCCACAAAGACGCTCACCTCATCAGTCTCACGCAACCACTCATCCCACCACTCCTCCCACAAAGACGCTCACCTCATCAGTCTCACGCAACCACTCATCCCACCACTCCTCCCACAAAGACGCTCACCTCAGTCTCACGCAACCACTCATCCCACCACTCCTCCCACAAAGACGCTCACCTCATCAGTCTCACGCAACCACTCATCCCACCACTCCTCATTCCACAAAGACGCTCACCTCATCACTCACGCAACCACTCATCCCACCACTCCTCCCACAGACGCTCACCTCATCACTCTCACGCAACCACTCATCCCACCACTCCCACAAAGACGCTCACCTCATCAGTCTCGCGCAACCACTCATCCCACCACTCCTCCCACAGACGCTCACCTCACTCTCACGCAACCACTCATCCCACCACTCCTCCCACAAAGACGCTCACCTCATCACTCTCACGCAACCACTCATCCCACCACTCCTCCCACAAAGATGCTCACCTCATCAGTCTCACGCAACCACTCATCCCACCACTCCTCCCACAAAGACGCTCACCTCATCACTCTCACGCAACCACTCATCCCACCACTCCTCATGCCACAAAGACGCTCACCTCATCACTCTCGCGCAACCACTCATCCCACCACTCCTCATTCCACAAAAACACTCATACCTGTCAACCCCTTATCAGCCCCTCCCTACGTTATTACGGACCAATTTAGACTATTGGTCACCCCGTCAAAACGCACCCTGCGAGGCGCTGTACATAGTAACGGGTGTTTGATCGCGTGAACGTAACCCAAACCGTGTTTAGTGTGTGAATAAAAGAAAAAATCGGGAAACATGCTTAAAGAAATAATTTCATTTGTACTCATTCAACAAAAATGTTTCGTTACATCAACATTGTGCTGTTTTTGTCTGTACCGTGTGACCCGATGCGGATACCCCGATACACGGCTGGAAAACAACGGAACCCGTGGAAAGACAAGATGACCGATTCACTTCCGAAAGGAGGAATTGCAGCAATGCACCACTCGGCTACCCCCTGACGCAATCACCTGCGGCGCTCATCAACCACCTCGGTGTTGAATTTCTTTCGCACCGCGCTAAATCGGAGATAAAGTTGGTCTTGGTGGCTGAAACGACGGGTCGAGAGACGGCCCGACGCTTTTGAAACGGACCGGTCCAGGCTAAAAGTGTCGAGACCCTTACTCCATCGGAAGACGTGAAGACTGCCCCCACTTGGACTGGACTTCTCCTGAAGCCGATGAGCATGGTTGGCTACGAGCGGTGCGAAAGTAGTTTAATACACACACAACCCTGTCCCAAGCGTCAGGGGGCCACTCAAGGCAAGGTACATCATCAACATCATCGCCGCCATCATCAACATCATCATTATCACCATCAACATTATCGCCACCATCAACAACATCATCAACAACATCATCACCGCCACCATCATCGCCACCATCATCACCATCATCGCCACCATCAACACCATCATCGCCACCATCAACACCATCATCGCCACCATCAACATCGCCGCCAACATCATCGCTGCCATCATCATCGCCGCCATCAACACCATCGCCACCATCACCATCATCAACACCATCATCACCGCCACCATCAACACCATCAACATCATCGCCACCATCAACACCATCATCGCCACCATCACCATCATCAACACCATCATCACCGCCACCATCACCATCATCAACACCATCATCACCGCCACCATCAACATCATCATCGCCACCATCAACATCATCATCGCCACCATCAACATCATCATCAACATCATCATCAACACCATCATCACCGCCACCATCACCATCACCGCCACCATCACCGCCACCATCACCGCCACCATCACCACCATCAACATCATCACCGCCATCAAGTATGTATGTTAAACGTATTTCTCACTACATAGCCAACCGTTTTAATCAGAGGTGCGGGGGGGGGGGTGGACAAAAAACTAAACACACAAAGCAGTTCTAAAGAGTTTTCAATCGAGATTATTTCAAAATGCATAGCTCCAGTGGCTTCCTGATATCGGAAGGAAGAGCGTTCCAGACGGCTGCAGAAGCAGTCAGTGGCGGCTCCTGCAAAATCTCTCAGGGGGGGCAAATGTCTGGATGATTGATAAGGATAAGGTCCACCCATGCAATGGATACATTAACAGCTTAAGCATGTAAAGGCAACTTCACTTCTTTAATATTAATGAAAAATAAAGTGACTCTTACAATACATCTCCTTGTTTGTTTCTATACTCACTATTAATAGAATCCACTCAAGTTTATTTTATTAAAGATTCCACAAGGTGGCGACAAATTATATTGTTGGATGAAACGTGCTTACGTATGATGACGTAAGCACGTTAGGGCGAGCCCTCCCGGAAGCCATAGAGAATGCATTGCAGCGCCCCCCGGTCGAAAAAAAACATCTTTGAATGTAAGTCTATGGGGCCACTCGGGGCGATTCTCAGCCGGAGTGAAATCGCCCAAAAAGAGGCGGTACTCCACAGAACGTGACATGACGCTGATTGGACTATATCCAGAGGCACAGTGACGGCTAGCGTGACTCTGTGGTTGAATGACATTGGTGGTGCGTCGCCCAATCGCCCTAATGAAGAAACCGCCCCTGGAAGCAGCGCATTTGAAAGCGCCACGCGACCATGCGGTGACCACCGCCTTTGTTCAATGACCAGCAGCCAAAAGCCGCTGCCGCTGCTGCTGAGAGGTTGATGGTTTATCCTCCTTGACGACATCAGCGAGGCGCCGTGGTTCATTTGTGGCCAGCACTTGGTGTGTAACGAGTGCGACCTGAAATTTAGATTTAAAGCTTTCGTGACTGCAGGGATTCATCTTCTTGGTTCTTTCGGTAAAGTCAGGTGACTTTAAAGTCACGTGACTTTACCGAAAGAACCAAGAAGATGAGTGCGACCTCGTAAAGGTGTTTTATTAAAGCCACCGTACGGACAAGCAGCTGTCGTGGAACTGTTTTCCAAGACGTTTCACCGCTTCAACCGGCACATTTCTTTTTTGACGGCTTCTACAGGCCGAGGCCTTGGCAAGGAGCCTGCCATCGACCTCGGGGACGCTCACCCCGCACGTGGCCCGTAGCTCCATGGCGCGCCGTCGTTTCCCCCGGCCTCTCAGTGGTGGGCGGCGGCAATGCCACCACACTTCCCTCGCCTCCCCCCCTCGCCGTGCAGTACAATGCAGAACGAGAGCGGGTGGGGCTGGCTCAGCTGCCGTAGAGAGGGTGCGAGTCGCGCTTTAGCCACACAACTGCCCGCCGAGACGCGGACAAAGCAGTCGCGTGCGGGCGGGCGATCGAGTCACACGGACGACCGCTCAGATGCGACACCCGGATTAAGTTGACAACCCCCGCCGTGTGTGCGTTGCTCCCCGCACGCCTCGTGCTCCGTTCTCTTTTCCTCGCAATTTAAACTCACAAGCGAGCCGCCTACACGTTGAGCCGCTGCCTCAGCAGCCTCGCGATCTCCCTCACCACGTCCGGGTGAGCGACGCACTCCAACAGCGTGTCCGTATCCACGGCAACGTCCTCGCCGGCACCCTCGGCAACGACCCCCTGGCTCTCGCGCGCCGCGGGTTCCTCCTCGTCGGAGGTCGGGGAGTCGGAACCGGGATCCGACGGGACGAGGAAAGCGCCGCACGGCATGCTGGGAGCGCCGCCCCCCTCGTGATCTTCCGACGGAGATTCGCCCCCCGTAGTCTGGCTGCGGCGATCGCCGTGGCAGCTGCAGCTGCAGCAGCTGCCGAGCGCCGACTCGTCGGCCTTGCGCTTCTTCGCTGGGCGGGAGCCGCCCTGGTGCTGGTGGAAGGCTTCCGACCGCGAGGAGCCGGGCAGAGCTCGGAGAGCCCGCGTTGAGGTAGCGGAGGTTCGTCTCGTAGCTGACGTCGTCATCCTAGAAGGATGGGCGGGGGAGGGGGGAGAGAGTTTTTGCGGGTTAGTAATTCAACTTTAATCTCTTATTCGACCCCGTGTCACATGACTCCCACGCAATGAGACCTATAAATTATTTTGTCTTTCCCCCCCTGCGCCCTCCCGCCCCCCCACCACCGATTTATTCCGACTCTACGATCGGGGCGTGGAGTCCGCGCCGCGCTGCGAGATTTCTCAGGACGCTGGTGTCACGGGAGAACGGCCCGCTGAAGCGGGCGCCAGAGAGCCGCATCCTAAATCCCTTCTTGAAGCGACCTCTTGATCCACGCAGCAGCAGTACGACACTTAAACCGTTTACTTCTTCTCTAATTCTCAGGGGTTATGGGTAAAGGGGTTAAAGGTCATGGTTCAGGTCAGGGGAATGACCTCGGAGGGGTTGAGCCAGCGAGCGGGGTTGATCTACTTTAGGGTTATAGTTAATGAGGTTAAGGTCATGGTTCAGGTCAGGGGTTAGGGTCAGGGGTCAGGGGGCAGGGTCATGACCTCGGAGGGGTTGAGCCAGCGAGCGTGGTTATCTACTTTAGGGTTATAGTTAATGAGGTTAAGGTCATGGCTCAGGTCAGGGGTTAGGGGTCAGGGGTCAGGGTCGTAACCTCGGAGGGGTTGAGCCAGCGGGCGTGGTTATCTACTTTAGGGTTATAGTTAATGAGGTTAAGGTCATGGCTCAGGTCAGGGGTTAGGGGTCAGGGGTCAGGGTCGTGACCTCGGAGGGGTTGAGCCAGCGGGCGTGGTTATCTACTTTAGGGTTATAGTTAATGAGGTTAAGGTCATGGCTCAGGTCAGGGGTTAGGGGTCAGGGGTCAGGGTCGTGACCTCGGAGGGGTTGAGCCAGCGGGCCAGGTTGTCGGGGTGAGGCTGGGTCTTGACGGCGCAGACGACGATCCGCGCCAGGGCCTCCTGCAGGCGAGCCTCGTGGTCCGACTCCTACGGACACATCAGCCATCAGCGACAAACAGTCAACAACAATGACAATGTACGGCAATCAGAGGTCGCAAACGGGTTTTGATTCCTTACCCGTACCCGGCCGCACCAGGGTCGCAAACGGGTACCCGTACCCTACCGGATACCCGGCTACCCGTACCCTACCCGTACCCGGCCGGGTATCGGGAAGGGTACGGGTATCGGGTACCCGATTGCGACTTCTGGAATGAAGCCATGTTGCAGGCGCGGGTGGGTTGATTCTAGGAACTTGAATTGTGAGAAGAGACAAGACGTTGGGAAATGAGTGACAAAAACGGTTACTCACCAGTGACTCACGGCCTACCCGTACCCGGCCGCACCAGGGTCGCAAACGGGTACCCGTACCCAGCCGGCCGGGTACGGGTAGTCGGGTAGGGTACGGGTATCGGGTACCCGGTTGCGACCTCTGGCGATAATGAAAACAACAGAAAGGACAATGACTACACAACAATACATATAAAGAACAATGCACTATTTATGTACGTTGGACTTATTTCGCGCCGTGTGTAGCGAACCGTGCAATGACAGTTCACAACAATCATAAAGAAGATTAACAATACACAATGACAATAAGGTGCCGTCCATAAATGACGTCACGCGATTTTGGACAAATTTTGACCCCCCCCCACTTCGTCACACGGCATCACAAAAAGTCAGACCCCCCCCATAAAATATGACGTCATAAAGCTCTGCCCCCCCCCCCCAAAAAAATATAAAACATGCTTCAAATCGCTTTAAACTATTGTCATTGTAGTGCATATATAATGTGGCGCTGCACTCTGATGTTGTAGGAGAAAACATTTATTAAAAAGTCTATTTAATTAAGTAGAACGTGTTGTCTATATTTATTTAAAGTTGCGCATTTTGATGTGACATCACATTTCTCAAACCCTCCCCCCCTCGTTACACATCGTCACAAATGTCTGACCCCCCCCCCCCCCCAGATGCGTGACGTCATTTATGGACGGCCCCGAAATAACAATGACTACAAAATCACAACAAAGAACAATGACAATACACGACAACAACAGTAAACAACAATGGCAATAAACAACAATAACAGTAAAGAACAATGACAATACACAACAACAGTACACAACAATGGCAATAAACAACAATAACAGTAAAGAACAATGACAATACACAACAACAGTAAACAACAATGGCTATAAACAACAATAACAGTAAAGAACAATGACAATACACAACAACAGTAAACAACATGGCAACAAACAACAATAACAGTAAAGAACAATGACAATACACAACAACAGTAAACAACAATGGCAATAAACAACAATAACAGTAAAGAACAATGACAATACACAACAACAGTACACAACAATAGCAATAAACAACAATAACACTATAGAACAATGACAATACACAATAAGAACAATACACAACAGGTCCTGCCATAAAGTTCCACTGTCGCCAGACGCATTGGCAGCGGTAGGCGCACGCCCACACTTTACCCCACCGCACACACGCGGACCTGCCGATCGACCAAACCGCGATGTACCCGTTGCTGCCGAGTGGACAGAGGCGATGGCGAGGGCGGGCGGGGAGGAGAGAGGGGCGGTTTAAGAAACTCGCACCGTCACCTGCCGCGCCGGGAGATTGACCAGAACCGGCTGTGTGGTGGCCGCGTGAGCGACAGGCAGAGAGAGAGGAACTCACCAGCTCTACCCACGTGTTGGCGCTCACCGTGGCCTGGTCCAGGCTCTCCACGTAGTGCCACCAGAGGGGCGGCACAAACAGGATCTGCGACAACAGGTAGCCGGGGAGCACGCAAACCACTCATCCCACCACTCCTCCTCCTCAAGCTCACACAAAGCACTCATCCCACCACTCCTCCTCAAGCTCACGCAAAGCACTCATCCCACCACTCCTGCTCAAGCAAAGCACCCATCCCACCACTCCTCCTCCTCAAGCTCACGCAAAGCACTCGTCCCACTCCTCCTCCTCAAGCTCACGCAAAGCACTC